CATTACTTAATTTTTCATATAAATTTCCATTAGTTTTGGTTGGTGAATTGAAGTAAAATCTTACGAGTGATACTAAACTCCTTATTAAAATCTCCACTTGTAGATAGTTTCCACTTGTAAAATTGAAGTAACCTAGTTAGATTTATCTTTAAAATATTTTTGAAACTTAATTAGTCATGTTGACATTTTTATACTATATGTTTCGACGTAACGTGCGTACAAATTATTCCAAAACATTGCTTGAGAAGTAATTATATTTATTTATTAGTTTTATTATTTTATAACAAGTTACTATATATATATATATATACATGACAAATCAGTTTGAATATTTTTAATAGTACTGCATCTTCTCACAAATTTGCCTGCCTGTAATTTGTTTTCTTTTGTGTATTACGATTTTTTTGTTTATTTAACTACTTTGTGTCACAGTTTGTTGAATCTTTGACTTCGATGAAATCTAGCTACTATAATACTAATTTTCTTCCTTTTTGTCCGATAATCTCCAATGAAAATAGTTTTGTTTATGCTCCTATTAAAATCTTTATGCAATTGTATTTTTTATAGATTCTGATTATTTGACACAATCTTTTGTTTAAGCAAGGTCATCTCTTGGACCCATTCCATTGTGTATGTTTTATCCGTTTTCTATCAACAGAGATCAAGAAAAAGAAAAAATATTCCCCATGACCAAACTACTTTTCTAATCGGGCGTAATATTTTGCTAAATATGCACTATTTGGTCTTTGGTTGGCGGGTTGGTTGGTTGGGTTTTTTTTTTTTGTGCACCCCAAATATATATTGCTTAACAAATGTTCGGTCCGTACAAACTAAAGCAATGTTTAGCTAGAGAATCAATAACAACATTAGTTGACCAGGGATAAAACGACAAATAAACGAAGAAAAGCGGGTATTAATGGCCCCGACCAATTTTTGACAGTCAGATTCGAGCAAGAAGCAATCAACTCCTGCTCTGGCTGCATCCATAACAGCAGCTCTACAAGCTAAACTTTCTGCCATGAGAGGTGATGAGACATTCTCGCAAACTGCATGATAATGTGAAGTAACCCCATCCAGATCCGTGAGTGTCCATCCTAAGCCTGCAGCTTTGAGGTCCTGACGCCAAGCTCTATCTGACTTACATGAGACAAATGACCTAGCAGCTTCCTGGAGAGCAGGTCTTGGTGGGGGCGTTGGTAAAGGGAGAAGTATCCCTTTGGACTTACACTGAGCCGCAAACCACTCCTTAGCATCCAAAATAGCTTTAAGTAAGGTTTTTTTTGGGCACTGAACTCGCGCAGTGGCGGAGGCAATGAAGGAACATGGTGGTCATATGACACCCATGAAGTTAAAAATTTCAGCTTACGTTTTCCTAAATAATTTTTTGACACATGTCCAAAATTGCTGTTGACACCCCTCTCAAATATTATTGACCCCTCTCATAAATATTTAAAATAGAAATATGCTATTAATTGACTCCTCTCAAATATTATTGACCCTTCTCAGAAAATATTTATTGACCCCTAATATTGAAAATACGTTGGGCCTTTTTATTAAACTGTTGGGCTTTAAGTTTTTATTTTATTAACAAAGCTTTACAAAAAAACTTGAGTCTCTTCCTCTTCCTCTTCCTTCTTCGTCTTTGCGTAGCCAGAGAATCGTAACTCGTAAGTCAATTTTTTGTCACTAAGCAAATATCTTAATTTTGCAAGGTTTTATCGTAGTTTGTGATTCATCAGCCAATAATATAAGTCTATAGTCTATAGAAAATATGCTTTCTAAAGAATTTTTTGATAATAGGCTATGGCGTTACCGGTGTATGCAATGTCGTGTTTCCGGTTGACAAAGCATCAATGCCAACAAATTACAAGCGCCATGTCCAGCTTTTGGTGGAATGCATGTGCAGACAAGCACAAAATGCATTGGGTTTCATGGGAGAAGCTATGTAAGTCTAAATCACAAGGGGGTTTGGGTTTTAGAGACATTGGTAGATTTAACCAAGCCTTACTTGCGAAACAAGCTTGGCGACTCCTAGACGCCCCGGAATCCTTGGTTTCCCGTGTTTATAAAGCTAAATACTTTGCTACGAAAAAATTTTTGGAGGCAAAAGTTGGCTATAGACCGTCGTATGCTTGGAGAAGCATAATGTTTGGTCGGGAATTGCTAGAGAGAGGGCTCATGAAATCGATTGGGGATGGAGAGGACACAAGTATTTGGGCAGATAAGTGGATCAAAGATGACTTCCCACGACGACCGATTAATAAAGAGTTGATGATGGATCTTAACCTCAGGGTCTCATCTTTGATTACATCACAGGGCGGTTGGAACTTAAACCGGTTAAAGGAGCTTTTTCCTCCTTGTGACGTTACTCAGATCAGTTCATTTCCCCCAGCACCGGCTCTAAAGGATAGATTTGTGTGGGCTTACACTAAAGATGGAAGATACTCTGTAAAAAGCGGGAATTGGGTTTTGGGAAGAGAAGCAACAGCCATGGAGCTGGTTCCGGAAAATATACAGAGCTTAAACAAGCTAAAGGAAACGATTTGGTCTATCATAACAGCTCCTAAAATCAAGTTGTTCCTATGGCGTGCACTTTCTGGGGCTCTAGCTGTAGCGGAGTGTTTAAGGAATCATGGTCTCAACATCCAACCCATGTGTGCAATATGTAACAGAGGAGAGGAGACAGTGTCTCATGTACTATTCACCTATTCTATGGCTGCGAAGGTGTGGTCTAGTTTCAATGTCCCAGTACCAAGCCAAGGTTTCTCTAATTCTGTTTCGCAAAATCTGGAATATGTGCTTGGACTGATCGGAAAAACAGAGTTAGACCCGCGTTTTCGATCTGCAATACCATGGCTTTTATGGGAGATTTGGAAGGCTCAGAATTCTGTCTTATACTCAGCCAGAACTCCGGATCACCACTTTGTCATCGCTACTGCGTTAGAAGAAGCAGAGGAATGGTTACAACAGAATCAACAAATTTCGCAGGAGCGGGAGTGGGATTCACGGAACCGTAGCCGAGTCCATCGGTTCTGGACTAAACCAGCTATTGGAGTTCTTAAGTGTAACTTACATTCGTCTTGGATAAATGAGGATAGCTTTTGTGGAGGGGCTTGGATCATAAGAACACATACGGGTGATGCTCTGTTCCATGCACGGGATGCTTTTTTACCTTTTTTCAACAGAATTGCAGCGGAGCTTCACTGCATCTTATGGACTCTACAAAGCCTTCATGATCTTCATATCTCTTCTTGTGAGGTGTGTACTGATTGCGCGGCTGCAATATCCGGCCTGGAGAATCCACAGGAATGGCCAAAATATCGTTCCATCCTTGGAAGAATTTTGCAGGTTGTACGGGTGATGGGGGAGGTGTCTTTCAAACTCTCTTCACCGAAAGCCAATTCATTGGCTAGGGAGATAGCCTGCAGTGTCACCAGAGACAGACGCCTCACCTCCTATTTGGCGCTAGGAGGACCTTCATGGCTTCAAGATCGTATCGACAAAGATTGTCGTTCCATTGGTTAACTCTTCTTGGGTTTATTTCTTTTTCTTTGGTTTTGTTTAGTTATTGTTTTCATTTTCGTTCTGCAACTTTGTACTTCTATATTTCTCATATCAATTTATCTCAGTGGAAAAAAAAAAAAAAAAAGAATTTTTTGATTAATAACTCAAGTATTTAAAGTGATAGGCACGTTTTTAGATTTGTGGAAAAAGGATTGCTTAATGATCCCTCTTACTTGGATATCTCTCGGTGGAATTATAATTTATTCCTAGGATGAACCGAAGACAAATTAACTGTAATTAATTGTAATTTTTAATAGCATATTCCTATTATAATTTATTCGTATCGTACATATAATTAATTGTAATTTTTTATTTTGATTCTAAAGCTTTTTTTTATGTAGGCAATGAATATGATGGATCGATTTGTGAAAAGAAAATATAGAATAGAGATTTGTATGAATAAGACTACAAGTTCAACAAAGTAAAACTCACTTTATTATGCTTAAGAAACTAACTCAAAACTTAAGCTCTTGTTCTCTTTTAAAAACCACACAACTCTCACACAATTAGGTCATGACTCGACCTCTCTATTTATACTAATCTCTCAAATCCTAATCTCACTAGGATTACATATATATTAGATAACTCCTAATATATTTGATATTCTCCTCTCTAAACCATAACTCGGTTTAGTTGCTTCCGGTTTAAGTTAACTTCAAGTTTACTCCAACATTCTCCCTCTTAATAACGTTGATCTGGATGATTTGCCATGGGATCCAGCTAAAAGAAAAAGTATTCAAAGCTACCATCCCAATCAAAGAGATGAGGTACGACGCAAATATTTGATTAGAGGACCTTATCAACCTCGTGATCATAATTTTAAACAAATAGCAATAGGAGGCATACTACGGCGTTTTAATCCACAATGGTATGATCGATATGGTGATGATTGGTTAGAGTATAGTGTGGAAAAAGAGAAAGCCTTTTGCTTGTGTTGTTATTTATTCAGAGATCAAAGTGATAAACAAGGTGGATGTGATGCTTTTGTTTCTACTGGTTACAGTGGCTGGAATAAAACCTATGGGTTTACTAAGCATACGGGTGATCATACTAGTTTTCACAGCATTGCCAAAAATAAATGTGTTGATTTGATGAGACAAGGTCAGTCTATCAAACATGCTTTACATAAGCAAACTGATGTTGCGAAAAATGATTACCGCATTCGATTGAGTGCTTCAATTGATGTTTCTAGACATTTGTTACATCAAGGATTGCCTTTTCGAGGTCATGATGAATCAGAAGATTCTACAAATAAAGGTAATTTTTTGGAGCTTCTCAAATATATTTCTAATCAGAATGAGATTGCAAGAAAAGTTGTGTTGAAGAATGCTCCTAAAAATAATCATATGACATCTCCTCCGATTCAAAAAGACATTGTGCATTGCTTTGCAGAAGAAGTAACTAGATCTGTTCTTCAAGAAATTAATAACGATGTCTTTGCCTTATTGGTAGATGAATCTGCAGATGTTTCAGATAAAGAACAAATGGCAGTGGTTTTTTCGCTTTGTTGATAAAGACGGGATAGTAAAAGAAAGATTTGTTGGCATTAGTCATGTAAAGGAGACATCTTCTCTATCTCTAAAGAATGCTATTGACTCTTTGTTTGCCAAACATGGATTGAGTTTGAAAAAAGTGAGAGGACAAGGTTACGATGGAGCTAGCAACATTAAAGGAGAATTTAATGGATTGAGATCATTGATTCTGAAAGAAAGTAGTTCTGCATATTATGTGCATTGCTTTCCTCATCAGCTTCAGTTAGTTGTCATGGCGGTTGCAAAAAAACATTTTGAAGTTGGAGATTTCTTTGATATGATTTTTGTCTTGTTGAATGTGGTTGGAGCTTCTTGTAAGAGAAAAGATATGATCCGGGAAAGCTATCGCAAAAAGGTTAAAGAAGGGATTTGTAATGGAGAACTTAACACTGGAACTGGGTTAAATCAGGAGCTTTCACTTCAAAGACCTGCAAATACGCGTTGGGGTACACATTATAAGACTCTATTGCGACTTATTGAGTTGTTTTCTTGTATCATTGAAGTTCTTGAATATATTCAGGATGAAGGCGTAGACACCACCAAAAGACGACAAGCATATGGCCTCCTCAAATACTTTCACACCTTTGATTTTGCTTTCTATCTTCAGTTAATGCTGCATATTTTGGGGCTCACTGATAAATTATCAAAAGCTTTATAGAGAAGAGACCAAGATATTTTGAATGCTATGTCATTGGTTCCATCTACTAAACGAGAGCTACAAAAGCTTAGAGATGATGGATGGGATGATTTTCTTGCTAAAGTCTATTTTTTTAGTGAGCAAAATAATACTGAAATGCTTACTATGGACGAAGAGTTTGTCGATTCAAGAAGACCAAGGAAAAAGACTAACATAACCAACTTGCATCATTACAAGGTGGATTGTTTCTACACTGTCTTAGATATGCAACTTCAAGAGTTTAATGATCGATTTGACGAGGTAAATTCAGAACTTCTTGTTTGCATTGCATCCTTAAGTCCCTTTGATTCTTTTCGTCAATTTGACAAATCAATGTTGGTGAGATTGGCTGAGCTTTATCCAGATGACTTTAGTTTTGTGGAGCGCTTATCTCTTGATCATCAACTTGACATCTATCTTGATAATGTGCAAAGAGATGAAAGATTCACTGATCTCAAAAGTCTTGGTGATCTAGCTCGTGTGATGGTGAAGACAAAGAAACATATTTCTCATCCTTTGGTTTATCGACTTTTGAAGTTAGCGTTGATTCTACCTGTTGCGACCGCAACCGTTGAAAGATGTTTTTCTGCAATGAACATTGTGAAGACGGCCTCGCATAATCGAATTTGTGATACTTTTTTTAGTGATTGTCTAGTTTGTTTTATTGAAAAACAGGTACTTGATACTGTGACAAACGAAACAGTGATCAAATGTTTTCAAAGTATAAGTGAACGTAGGATGCATCTTTAAAAAATATATTATGACCCCGTGACTAATTTTCCTGGCTCCGCCACTGAACTCGCGTGCATTAAAGATCTTTTGGGGTTGGTTGATTGTTTATTAAAGAAGAAAAAAAAAAGACTCCCAAACTAACATTTTGTGTAAGATCGGCATCGACAATAAAATATATTGGATTAGAGATTTAGAAGATTTAGTCTTTTTTACTGTAAATCCGCAATCTATTTGACATTAATACCACATATGATGAGGAAACCAAAAATTACGTAGTTGTGAAAATATTAAAACATCATAGTATTGATACCATCTTGGTTCTTCAACCATTATTAAAGTACTTTAACTAGTTATTTTCTTTCTTTTCACCACAAAAACACTATTTCTAGTTCTTCAATTTGATTGGTTCAAATCGAACCATCATCTCTTGTCCATTGTAGATAGAACCATCCAGTTTAGTATATATGATCATGGTGACACAAAATATATATATATATATATATGTCAATTTTTAGCAGTAAACCCGCTCATATGTTTGATGACTCTTCTAACGCCAAATGTTTTACCACTAATTGCGGTAAAGGGTTACTAATCAAACCCAATATTTACTTTTTGTTCCTTTTCCTATATAGTTTTTTGTGATTATTCTCAATTTATTTGGTTAAACGGAAAATTAGAAGAAAATATGATTTTACATATGTATAAAGTTGATTTGATTAAGGAAAAAATAGATTTATTAGAGATTGACATAGGGGTCTAAAATGGTACGGCTACTTCCAAAAACTAAATATAGAGCGTCTTTGCCTGGTGATCTTAAAACCAGGTTTCGAACCTTAAATCAGTGGGAGAAAAAAAAACCTCAAACCAATTGGACCAATTTAGGGGTTTTTGCTTCAAATTCAATTTGGGCCGGACCCAACCATGCACGTGAATAGACAATGAATCATGGAGTTTCAAGTGTTGCTTGATTGCATTGGTTCGAAACAAAAAATTGTGTAGACTAACGGATGTTATCCCAATTTAGATTAATGATTGTTCTTTAATGTTTTAAATAGGCCAAGCCCGTTTCTAGTGGCCTCGTTGTCTTGGTCCAGATCAAAATCTCTACACACTTCACCCTTTTGGTCACAAACTCATAATTGGCAACTTTTATAACGTTTTTTTTTGCTTCTACAATGTTTCTTTGTGGGATACGCAACGTTCCACTACTGAAGAACATCCTATTTCATGCAAATTAATAAGTGTTAGCGTGTATATTTAATTCTCATTGCTATTTTCTATTCAAAACAGTTACATACAATTTACAAAGGCATATCTAATTATATATTAATATTAGTGAAATGAAAATAATAAGTCGACTCATATTAAATGAAGCAAAGTGGATATTCCATACGTCCAAGATTCCTCTAAAAATTTATATCCATCTCAGTTCCTTACTCTTTATTTTATACGCAAAATTAGAAACGTATCCATATATATAAACATTTATGTGTGTGTAAGAATATATATAATAAATCAAGACAGACATTGTAGCACAGAAGTAGAGAAAGAAAGGAAGCTAGAAGATGGAGATATTTGTGAAGAAAGAGTACTTAGATTTGGTTCTTGTCCCATTTGGATTAATCATAGTTTTATCTTACCATCTATTTCTTCTCTATAGAATCCTCTATTTTCCTTACCACACCATTATCGGTTTCATGAACATCGATAAATCCATTTGGGTCGACCGTATCATGCAGGCAAGTGATCTCTTTTTACTACAATCTTTTCAAAATTATCGATAAAGATTTCTATATAATATAATGTTTTGTTCAACCTATTACAATATTAAAAAAAATGATGATTTGGTAATGCCAACATTTTTGTTACTTTTATTGTTACTCTCTTTTGCTATATGGATTTAGATATAACGGTTAGCTCAAATGATTACAGGCAAGAAAAGACGAATTGGGTGGTGCTTTAACTGTTCTTTCAAGCAGCATATCAGCTTCAACATTTATGGCGTCTATTGCTTTAACATTGAGTTCACTTATCGGCGCGTGGATCGGAAGCTCCCCGGTTAATATGACAGTTTTTACGGGAGATTTTGTCTATGGAGACACAAGTTCAATCACAATGGTCATCAAATACACTTCTCTCCTCATATGTTTCCTAGTTGCATTCTGTTGCTTTATTCAATCCACGAGATGTTTTCTACATGCGAATTATCTTATTACCACTCCCGGGGAAGATATTCCGCCAGACATGGTGAAGAGATTTGTCTTGAGAGGCGGTAACTATTGGTCGGTGGGTCTTAGGGCTCTTTACTTGGCTCTTGATCTACTGTTGTGGCTTTTCGGACCGGTTCCGATGTTTATTAACTCGGTTTTGATGGTTATTTGTTTGTATTATCTCGACTCGAACTCGGTGGCTCAGCCTCTTTATCACCGGACTTTCGAGGCGGAGCAAGTTGTCAAGAAGATGAGAGGAGTTTTGCCTGAACAGTTGACTTTTAGATGTAATTGAAAAGAAAATTATTTGATTATTATTAATCAATTTGCCAACTTGAGATTTGAATATTCACACTTAATAATCTATTGAATGATTCGTAAGTAATAAATCAATTATTGCATGAGATTTGAGAAAGCCGTACGGAGCATGTTCCGGGAGCGTCTTGTCTTATGTTTTGTAATTTATTCACACGATAGAGCATTAACGGAAACAAAAAGAGAAGAAAAAAAAAAGATGAGCTGTGTAATTTATTTCTTGGAAGCAACTACTTAGACATTTTCTCTATATTTGAAAACAATTATTGTTGTGTTTACTAATAATATACTATATCGCAATTTAGTTTTCCACTAGTCTTACAAAAAATTCATGGTCTCATTACGTTTTTTCAATTATATTAATTGCTGAATATTGCTCATGTATTTTCACGTAAGTTAACATTAGGCAATATTTTAAAGAGAAGTTCAATTCAATGGAGTTTCGGTTAGAATTTTCAAACTTTTATGAAATATATGGAACACATGAACACTAGTCTAAATTCGTTGGAATTTTTTTAGTATTTATGCTTCAACAAATATTATTAATGGCTATTCTTGGACTAAGAAAAATTATGGTTTTAAAGATAGAACTATTCCTTATCAAAAAAATTGGCCTTAGTTCAAGATAGTTGTTTTTCAAAAGATTTAGCATCTAATTTTTATTAGTCCTAGAAATTTTAAACAAACTATTGAAAGAGTACTTGATGAATACAAGTGGTGGTATATATATATACACAGCAATGTTTAGATTGAACTTGTCCAATCCGAGCTAGTTTGTTTGGTTATTCGGTGTTAATCTTCCTATACCTGCATATCGAAAAAGAGTTTGATCTAGTGATGAATAATATCAAAAATCAAAATTTTCATTTTGTATCCTCTTATGTGGAGAGAAAAAGAAAATGAAGAACACATTTTTTCTTGTATTTCTGTATATTCTTCTTCTTTACATATGAGTATATATTTATAAACATAATAATACTGCATAAAACTTGCACGATAAGCTGGATGTGAACTATAATGCTATATATGAACTATATTTAGATAACTAAGCACAAAGATTACATTCATATTTTGTTCCTTAAAAAAACATGAAACAAGCCAAACCAAAGTTTAAAATTCAATCCGGATTCTTATTTCTTATAATAACCACTCGATTTGAGGAGAGCTAGCAGTAATAGATTTGTTAGGGAGATATCATACATTGTAAGAAAATGTGATTTCGTGATTGATGCTTCAAAATATCGGAAGAAGAAAAAGTTGAAGCTAGGAGTTAATCAAGTGAATCGTTCACATGTTAGTTTCTTTTTGGATAACAACAAAGTAAAAAACTTAAATAATTTTATTTTTTTCTAGTGTTTATAACAATGGAGAGAATAGATAAAAAAGATTAAAAAAAAAAAACAAAGAGAATAAAAAAGAAAGTAAATGAAAAAAGGTTTAAAGGAGAATTATCAACATCTACACAAATTTAAGGTATGAAGAATTATTTATGAAGTTCGGCATTCTCGTATGAATATGCTGACACTGCTGATGATCTTTTACAGAGGGTATATCAAAAAGACATATCTGGAAAATGCGGAAAGGATGAAGTTGATAACTGCACTAGGAATATATGGAATGTTCTACACATTTTTTCTTCTCTTGTGGATTCTTTTGTAATCGGTTTCAGACTTCTTATTTCCAAAATCATTAATTAAGAAGATATTTCAGGCTGAAATCAATTCCTTTTTAACGTATTTAATTGCTTTATATTCTGGTTCAACACATGAAAGTAAGACTACCTTATGTTTTTACTTTTCCAAATGACAATATTTCTTTTAACGAATGTGCGATAATATATTATTTGCTTTTGTCATATCTTGTCTTTTGTTTAATTTACATTGCAATACTCAATGATTTCTATATTACCGTTGCAGTCCATCCATCTACATTTTCCCAAAGTACTCTTTTAAGTATTTAAAATCTCTTTCCACCATATACCTAATAATGTTTGGCGAAAGCTTAGCATAATGGCTTATTGGCTTGTTTGGTTCATAAGAGAAACTCTCCTAACACAAAAAGTAAAACCCACATATTTGGGCCCATAAAGGCCCATGGAGTTAATTTCGTGGGCCTATTATACACAATTCCTTGTTTAATCGCTGTATTTTCTCTCTCGCGACGGATCTTCTACTTAGGTCTCTCTCTTCTTCTCCTTTTCCTCACTTTTTCAAAATCAGTAGATTTAGGAAATTTCAGAATTTGAGCGAAATTAAAAGTAGACGACGAATCGTTTGAATTCGAATTTCAAGTAAAATTTGCAGAGATGATGAGGATGTTCAGTAGAGGAGGGAAGGATTCACCGTCTGATTCCGCTTCTCCGTCACCGAGATCATACCCTTCAACATCTCCGGCATCTTCGTCTGCTGTGACGGGACCACCGAGACCGATTCGTTTAGTGTATTGTGATGAGAAAGGGAAGTTTCGTATGGACCCTGAAGCTGTTGCTACTTTGCAACTCGTTAAGGAGCCAATTGGTGTTGTTTCTGTTTGTGGTAGGGCTCGTCAAGGAAAGAGCTTTATTTTGAATCAGGTTAGGGTTTCGCTTCTTCTTCAAGAGTTCGTTTTTGGGTTCGTGTTGGAAAAATGGGGTTTGTTTTGAATTGGGTTCTTTGTACAATGTTTTGAGGTTCTAGGGTTTTGGCAAATTAGGGTTCTTTTGTACTACCTCCAATTGATTTGTCAGGGTAAGGAAGCTTATTGGATTCAGTAATGGGGAATGATGCTTGTTTGATTTGGTTCTGTGTACATTGTTTTGAGGTCTAGGGTTTCTGTTTTTCTGTGTTTCTTATATTGTTTTGTGATGTTGCGCTTTTGTAGCTTCTTGGACGCAGTAATGGGTTTCAAGTGGCATCAACACACAAGCCGTGTACCAAGGGGCTTTGGTTGTGGAGTTCTCCTATAAAAAGAACAGCTCTTGACGGCAGCGAATACAATCTTTTGTTGTTAGATAGTGAAGGAATTGATGCTTACGACCAAACTGTAAGTAACATATAGCGAATTTGCTACTTATGAATTTGATCTCTTTCAAAGAATTTGTGTTTACTAATATGTTTTGATTCCCTTTACTTCCATTTCCACAGGGTACCTATAGCACTCAAATATTCTCATTAGCTGTTCTTTTGTCAAGCATGTTCGTGTACAATCAGGTTTGTTAAAATTTTCAGTCTGAAACTTAATTTAAGCTTTTTGTGATATTATTTACACTCGTGTTGACTGATGTTTTTTTGGTTGGTATGTTTCAGATGGGAGGCATTGACGAAGCTTCACTGGATCGCCTTTCTCTTGTCACTCAGATGACAAAGCATATTCGTGTAAAAGCTTCTGGAGGAACAAGCTCACGTTCGGAACTTGGGCAATTTTCTCCCATCTTTGTCTGGCTGTTGAGGGTAATCCTCTGTTATTTATGTTTGTAGATATTATTGCTTAGAGATAAGTATTAACATTGATATACTTTACTGTAGGACTTTTATTTGGATCTAGTGGAAGATAATCGGAAGATTAGCCCACGTGACTATCTAGAAATTGCCTTAAGGCCAGTTCAAGGTACTGGAGGAGATATTGGTGCTAAAAACGAGGTACTATGTTATTTCTTTGTCGAGTATGTTTATTTAGATAGTCAGGCACTCTCGAGAAACCCGGGTTTGGTGATCAAGTGTAATTCCTTTGGTAGAATAATTGTATGTCAGTGTAACTGAAAACAATTTCTTTTTGCAGATCCGAGATTCAATCCGTGCTCTTTTTCCGGACAGAGAGTGCTTTACCCTTGTAAGGCCTCTGAACAATGAAAAGGACCTGCAGAGACTTGATCAAATTTCGGTTAGTATTGTTCTATCATGCCCCTTTACCTATAATACTTAGTTGTTTAATGCTTAGTTGGATAATATTCTGTGTGCTTATGCAGTTGGAAAAATTGAGACCTGAATTCGGTGCTGGCCTGGATGCATTTACCAAGTTTGTTTTTGAGAAGACGAGGCCCAAGCAATTAGGGGGTACTGTGATGACTGGCCCTATTCTTGTCGGTATTACACAGTCTTATCTGGATGCTTTGAATAACGGTGCCGTGCCAACAATAACCTCATCTTGGCAGGTTTGATATCTCTTGCCTCTATGGATGTTCAATACATTTTAATCAAAATCCATTCTTTTTTTCTAAGATTTAAAAATATTGAAGAATTTGACTGGATATGGCAAGGCTTACTTTACATTGTCTGATACATTACATCTTAATGGGTAAACATATGGTTGATTATTGCATTCATACATCTATGTACTTCAAACCAGTGTGGCTCAGTTGTAATGTTTTTACCAATGCATTCTCTAGCCTATTTTCTCCCAGATTAATAACGTTATTTTTCTTGACTATCTACTTGTAGAGTGTCGAAGAAACTGAGTGTCGAAGAGCATATGATTCTGGGGTAGAAGCCTATATGGCTGCCTTTGACCAATCAAAAGCTCCTGAAGAAGTAAGTATCTTGGCTTTAACCTCCTATTTTTTTTTTTTGGTAATATATGATTCATGTCAATTCTGCTATGTATAGGGTGCACTGAGGGAAGAACATGAAGAAGCAGTTCGAAAAGCCTTGGCTATGTTTAACTCTAATGCTGTAGGGGCTGGTTCAGCAAGAAAAAAATTCGAGGATCTTCTCCACAAGGACTTGAAGAAAAAATTTGAGGTAATAGATTCTAAAACAGTGTTGTTCAGTAGGAAGCAGTTGTTTTTGAATTCGGACTGTTTTATATAACTCATTTACGTATCTTTCACATGAGATTTCTCCTCTCATTGTCTTATGCTAATATAGACAATACTTTGGTGATTCAGGATTACAAGAAGAACGCTTTTATGGAGGCAGATTTGCGATGTACGAGTACTATCCAGCGCATGGAAAAGCAGCTTAGAGCAGCTTGCCATGCGTCTAATGCAAATATGGATAATGTTGTCAAGGTTTGTTATTTATGGATAATTTTTTTGGCATAGAAGGATTAGGTTTAAAGGTTCCGTGATTTTTTTTTTTGGTTGTTTGTAATGATCGACTGTGTCTCAGATTCTAGAAGCTCGTTTGGCAGAATATGAGGCATCATGCCATGGCCCGGGGAAATGGCAGAAACTTTCTGTGTTTTTGCAACAAAGGTATTTTACTACTTCCACTCCCCACTATTTTTTCATTTATGTTTAGGTTTTTTTTGAGGTGCGATCATGTAATTTGTGCTTTGTGGTCTACTTTTTACTCATGCAGCTTGGAAGGACCTATATATGATCTCACCAAAAGGCTTATAGATAGCATCGCTATAGAAAAGAATTCCCTTGCAATGAAATTCCGTTCTGTTGAAGATGCGATGAAACATTTAAAACAGCAGTTGGATGATAGTGAGAGATACAAGTTGGAATACCAGAAACGTTATGATGAATCCAACAATGACAAGAAGAAGCTGGAAGATATATACAGAGAGCGCATAACTAAACTACAGGGGGAGAATAGTTCGCTGAACGAGCGATGTTCTACGTTGGTTAAAACCGTGGAATCTAAAAAAGAAGAAATCAAAGAATGGAAAAGGAATTATGACCAGATTGTTTCGAAGCAGAAAGCTGTTCAAGATCAGCTTAGTTCTGAAATGGAAGTCCTTAGGACAAGAAGTACTACTTCTGAAGCTAGGGTTGCTGCAGCTAGAGAACAAGCCAAATCTGCTGAAGAAGAGACTAAGGAATGGAAAAGGAAGTATGATTATGCTGTGGGAGAGGCTAGATCTGCTCTTCAAAAGGCTGCTTCAGTGCAAGAACGTTCAGGCAAGGAAACACAGTTGAGGGAAGATGCTCTTAGGGAGGAATTTAGTATCACTTTAGCTAAGAAGGTATCATTCTTTGTCCCATTCGTTTAATGGATGAATTTAAGCATGTAATCATCAGTATATATTATTAATATTCGGTGTTAATCAATTGCAGGATGAAGAAGTTACGGAGAAGGCTACAAAACTTGAGAAGGCGGAGCAGTCTCTAACGGTTCTAAGATCAGATTTGAAGGTGAATTTTATCAAAATCATAGTATATCTATGTCAACCTCGTCTTGTTAATTTATCTTCCTATGTTGTAAACATCTGTGTGAAGTAGTTTACCTTTGTGGAATGTGGATCTTAGCTTGTGTTGTGTCTTTTGCAGGTGGCTGAGTCAAAACTTGAAAGCTTTGACGTAGAGTTAGCATCACTGAGATTAAAATTAAGTGAAATGACTGATAAGTTGGACAGTGCCAACAAAAAGGCTATAGCATATGAAAAGGAGGCTAATAAGTTGGAGCAGGAGAAAATCCGTATGGAACAAAAATATCGATCTGAGTTTCAACGCTTTGATGAAGTCAAAGAGAGATGTAAGGCAGCCGAAATAGAAGCTAAACGCGCTACTGAACTGGCAGACAAAGCTCGAACTGATGCTGTCACGTCGCAAAAGGAGAAAAGTGAAAGTCAGAGGTTGGCGATGGAAAGACTTGCTCAGATCGAACGAGCTGAGAGGCAAGTCGAAAACTTAGAGAGACAGAAGACAGACTTGGAGGATGAATTGCACAGACTTCGTGTGTCTGAGATGGAGGCTGTCTCCAAAGTAACAATCTTAGAAGCAAGAGTCGAAGAACGAGAGAAAGAAATCGGGTCATTGATAAAGGAAACCAATGAACAGAGGGCTCATAACGTGAAGTCACTTGAAAAGCTGTTGGATGAAGAGCGTAAGGCTCATATAGCTGCAAATCGAAGAGCCGAAGCTCTTTCTCTTGAGCTACAAGCTGCCCAGGCACACGTTGATAATCTTCAGCAAGAATTAGCTCAAGCTAGGTTAAAAGAAACCGCACTTGACAACAAAATCAGAGCTGCGAGTTCCTCACATGGGAAGCGGAGTAGATTTGAAGATGTTGTTGATATGGACATTGGAGAAGCAAGTGATAGAGTCTTGAGGACTAATAAACGAGCTCGAAGCACGAGAGGAGATGATCACGGTCCTACTGAAGAAGGCGATGAGGACTTTCAAAGCCATCAAGACAATGGCGAGGAAGAAGAAGAAGATTACAGGAAGCTTACTGTGCAGAATCTAAAGCATGAGCTGACCAAGTATGATTGTGGACATTTGTTGTTGAACAGAGGCCATCAAAACAAGAAAGAGATTCTTGCTCTGTATGAAGCTCATGTTCTTCCCAAGAAAGCTTTAGTGAAAGAGGAAGAGAGAAAGAGACAGAGAGAAGTCACTTCGTCTTAGAGGACAAGACTCTGTACAGAGTAAGGATGAGATAAACATGTTTTAATCTCAAAAGTTTCGATCTTTAGAGATTAGTACAGAGTAAGGATGAGATAAACATTGTTTCTATCTTTTTATCGGTTTTTATCGGTTTACCTGGGACTGGAGAAAGTAAACCGAATTAGAAAGTTGTATTGAATCTGAGGTTTAGGGTTTTATGAGTGTGTTTTTGTGTTGGTATTATTAATTTGTGTGGGGTTTGAGTCGGTTTAGTGTTTGGACTTTTTGATTTTTAGACTCTTCCAAGTCTTTTTCAGAATTCTGTAACGAGTTTGAGATCGACCGTTTGCTTTGAATTTTACTCTTCAGTTTTAAGTCAGCATTATTGACTAATTTGGTTTTTAAAGGAATGATTCTAAGAGTATTTTAACTTATATCCATGGGATGTGACACACAGAGAAGAAATTAGTTAAAACTATTACATGTGCACTTGCGTGGTTTGTTTGTTTTTTTTGTCATCCGAAATTAATTAGAGTTCAAAAGAGTCATTCCTGTGGAATGTTGTTTACAAATGTGATATGAAGCGGTTTTGTACGAATTTTTCGTGCCAGATGATCCGCTTTTACATTAGCATTGCGAGAAATTAAAGATAAAGAGAATGATGAGAATTTTTCCTTGTCGCTCTGAAATTCCTCCAAGTACACTGAAAACGCCGGCCATTCGGTTGGAGAAGACACCATCTTAACCAGATCAAAACAGTCTGTAAGGAACTCTACCTCTTGATTATCTGCACCTAGCATACACTTCATCGCCCAGAGAAGGGTCTCGAACTCGGTATGTAATGGAGATAAACTTCGACGGAGATTTGCAGCTCCCATGGTTGGCGGCTCTCCGTTTAATGATGTACAGAACCATCCTGTATCGGAGAACTTATCACTTTCTTTCCACGATCCATCCACAAAGCAACGGTATCCTAAATAATTCGAGTCAAGTGAAGTATTCCCCACTCAGAGACCGATTTACCAATTCCACAGGACCATTAGTTTCATGATGAACTTGCGTGGTTTGATAATTCTCTTAAGTAATAAATGATATTACAGGAGTCCTAATAAATTACGTTTCCATTTAAAGAAATTACAGTTTCTACAGAAGCTATTAAAACAAAGAAAATGTTACAAAAAATATAGGTTAGTCAAAAAGATAAATTTTCATTCCTGTTATTGGTTTGTAATAAATTTGTAATTTTATAACAACTGTTACATTAAATCAAGCACTTAAGTTTGATGCCGCCTTACATGAATCAAAATTGAATTAAACAACAATTAATTTATTTTTATTTTTTCGATATACTTGTAAATATTATATGGAATGAAATCTTTAGGCTAATAAATAAAAAAATAAAAAACAAAGGGAATAAAAAACAAGAGAGTTAAAAAAACTCATTCTAACCACATTTGCAACAAAATTAAATTACATCTACCGAACATTTCTCACAAAAAAAGAAATATATGACTTGTTCCACAAGGTGTAAGATTAGGTCCACCGTCCAAATTTGACAAAAATTTAGCTTCCAAGTCTCGTCAAAAATATCAGAATCTAAGTTAAAATATTCTTTCGTACACACTTAACCATATTATAATATAACTCCTCGTAATCTATGATTGTTTCGGACAAAGCACACGAAAATTCATTTTATATCAATAGTTTATTTGAAAGTGATTGAAACACATAGTAGTATATTTAAGATTTTGTAGATTGATTCAGAGTAACATCATCAGTAGAAATTACTTGATTTCTACAGTATATGAAACCGAGTTTATACGTCGGAAAAAAGCCATTACATTTTCTACAACACCCCCTTTAATTTCTGTTTTCTCTGTAAAATCCCAAAACATTATGAATTGTTAAAAAATAACCCAACAACATCATTAATATTCTTAATTGATTCACATGAAACCGAATTCTAACTCTATAAAATAAAACTATATAATATACACGGCATTAAAACAACATTTACGTTGCTGTTCAACTAATAACAGCTATATCCCTTTATTCCAAATTTTTATCTCTAAAACCCCAAAACTTTTAAAATTATCCAAATCACCCTCCTTCCATCTCCAAACTATTCAAAATCGCCGCCACTTCAGAAATCGACGGCCGACTCCTCCGTGAATTCCCGACACAAGCCAAAGCAACCTTCGCTAATCTTATTACCAAACTCTTAATCTCACTTTGAACAACAATCCTCGGATCTAAAAACTCACCAAATCTCTGTTCTTTAATCAATGGTGTTGCCCATTTCACAATCAATCCATTTTCACTTCTTCTTCCACTCAAAATCTCCATTAAAACGACGCCGTATCCATACACATCACTTTCTTTGCAATAACCTTCTTCTATATACCCAAAAATCCCAGATTTTTCAATCGGAATCAAAAACCCAAATCCGTAATCGCAAATCTTAGCCGTTGATTTCTCGTCTATCAATATATTCGATGACGTAAATCGACCGTGAACGATTCTAGGGTTTGCGATTTCGTGTAGATACTCCAATCCTCTCGCTGCTCCCGCCGCGATTTTAAAACGCGTTTTCCAACCAAATTCAACCGCAACCGCTGATTCTTCGTGTAAGTGATCACTCAAGCTTTTTCCTTCTCCGACGAATTCTGTAACTACGATTCTTTCTCCGGGAGCTTCTGAGAATCCTAAGATTGAAACGACGTTTGGATGATGAGAAGAAGAAAGCGATTTAATAACCGTGGAAAAACCGAAACCCGGTTTACTCAAAACTAAACCGGGGTGTATTCTTTTAACCGCGACGAGGTTTTTATGATCTGGAATAATAGCAGCGTAAACCGTTCCTAACCGACCAGAACCGATGATTCGTCGCTGGTTGAATCCGTCGGTTGCTGAATCTAATTCGGTTAACGGATAAGCAAGACCGGCCGGTTTGGTTTCTGGAAGAAGAGATTCGTCGTCGGACCGGTTTGGTTTTTTTCTGCATAATAAGAAGAGAAAGATTATGAGAAGAAGAAGAGAAAGAGAAAGAAGAGACAAAACTGAAGCGTATGCGATTTTTTCAGATTTGTCCATTTTATTCAATAAAAATAAATGTATGATTTTGATTATGGGGGTTGTGTAATATATATATATACGAAGAGAATAATAAAATAAAATAAAGGTCAAAAAAGACAAATGAAGGAAAAAATTTCGTCTAGATGGTCAATAAATATTCATGGACTCTTTAGGTTAGGAAGAAAATCATTACTTTTCATAATTTAAGCAAGATATTTTTTATATTATATTTACATGGTATGATTTTTAAATTTGTTAAATTCTTGAAAATTTCTGTTTTAGTTATTTTCATTAAATTATAGAAGTTACTAAGACGCAGTAATTTCTCAAATAATCATATGTAAGAAAGTTAACACATTTTAACCAAAAAAAAATTTAACACATTAACAAATAACAAACATGTTAGTAATAATAGTATGCATAAATTCGATCGTTGGAGAATGGAGAGTTTTCGGACGATACTACTAGTATCTCGAGGAATTTTGATTGTCTTTATCATGGTGTAAGTTTGTCGGTCCTTAAAATTTTCAAAGAACAAACGCATATTATCACATGAGCATCTAACATTCGTTCGATGAATTTTAGAGTGAAAAGGAGAGCTTGAATAATCAGAAGATGACACACTATTATATCATAAATTCATACCTTGCACTATAAAAGATATTGACACTTTACTCATTACCTACTCATTGAAAGATATGAAATTATAGATGTTCATATGATATCAAAACAAATTGACTTACTAGTATTTGATCTAAACTAGTGTTCAACTTATGATAAATGTATTAGATCAAAAGAATGTGTTGTAAGAATCACACACTGAAAATAAATGGTCAAAGTGATATGAAAAGCTAAGAGTATATTAAATCTTATGAGAATGAAATATTTGAGAAGGACCCATCTAACTTTGGCAGGTGAAACTCACACCTAATATAACTAATGCAATTTATATAAAGTAAATTATATTTATTTCAACTTTTGATTATTCTATTTATATATACATATCACAAAAAGTTTACCTACTATGTATTAACCTATGTTGTACAGTATTTCCCATCAAGATTATGTTGGATTTCTAGGGAAGAAAGTGTAGCATTTCAACTACTAGAGAATGAACAAAACTATGTCAGTTAAATCATCGCGGGTTGATGATTTGTTGAGATATCTCGAAAAAGTTCAGCTGTGACTTAGCGTTTGTAAAATATAATATACTTTCTTAAATTTTCAAATTTTACTCGAAAATGATTTTTTTTTTTTTAAATGAATATTTGTTTGTAAAGCAATCACATATTATATTTTTTTGGTATGGTGTGGGAATATCAAAAATCTAAAACTATCTTAATTCTTAAATATATTTTCTGACTGTATAATATAAGCTAAGTAGTAGTATATATTAAGAGTAAACGATGAGTACGATTACGGTATCGTTTGTCATATCTACAAGCACCCTAAATCCTGGAATTCTTAGTTAACCATTTACTAATGATCCACTATTATAAAATTGGTACGTTAGTTACACCATCAAATTTCCTTAAATTCCGAAATTACTTAAAAGATATATGAGAAGATATACCAAACATATATTGTTTTATTATCTAAAGCCCATGCTCACCAGTAATAATCATTGAACTTGTATTATAAAATTATTTCATTTCATTCATTACATATGTCCGTAGATTCTCTCTTTTCTAAACAAAAAGTAATACTAAAATAGTGTTGCAAAACGAAGACAGATGCACTGTATCATCCATCTTTGTGAATTTTCATTTTAGGCTGTAAATGGTAACATGTATTTGTAGAATTCTTGAGGAATTTATGTGGAAAAAAATACATGTTACATCATTTGTATATGTGAAATTGTTGTGGAATTTTTGATCTTTTATCATAGTGGTCCTATTTCATTATTTGATTTATTGAATTAATCAAACCTTCAACAAATAGAAAACAAGCAAATAATGAGAGAAAATCAAACAACGAATCTGTGATGCATTTCATTAGTAAATTTTGATATGTTTTTTTGAAGTTTGTTTTTAGGAACTAATAATTTTTAATATTATTTAATATTTTTTGTTTTATTTTATTTTATTTTGTGGATAGTCTTGGATGTTCGAGTATTTGGTTCGGTTTCAATTATGTAATTTTTGGTTTTGGATATTTCGATTCTCGAATTAAGTATACATGCGGTTATTTTAGAATTTCGGTTAAAATTTGGTTCGGTTCCAAGTATTTTGGAGCATTTCAGTTTTTTTGAATCAAGAACCAGTTAGGAACCAATATTTTTTAGTTCCGGTTCTTACCCAAATAACATTTCGAATATTTTTGGGAAATTTTCAGATAATTTTAGTGAATACTTCCTCTGTTCCTAGTTATTTTATGTTTTGGGTTTTTTATTTGTTCCACTAAGATTGATGTTTTGTAAAAACATCATAATTATTTTTGTTTGTGACCAATAGTAGAAGGAGGGAAGTAAAACTAATATTATTAAACTAACAAAATAATAATAAAAAAATATAAAAGTTACTTATTCTTAATTTGTGTGTAAAACTAAAACATCATTGTTTTAGGAACAGAGGGAGTAGTATTTTTTGGTTATTTGGATTTTTTATTATTCGGTATAAAACTAACTAATGTTTTAGATATATAATTGTATTTCGGTTTTATACATGTATCTAAAATATTTTGGTTCCAGTTCTTTTGGTAATGAAGTTTAAGATCCATTTGTTGTTTTTGTCAGTTTCGGTTTGGTTTCGGCGAAACATTTCTCTAGCTAATAATTTTAGAAGTTTAGTCGATTAGATTTTAAAAAAATTCAGCCAGATTTAGCAGTTACCATTTGAACTATAAATTATTCAGCCAGATTCTGCAGAAAAACAAAGATATATTCAGCTAGATTCAGCAATTCAGCCAGATTCAGCCAGATTCCTCGGTTACCATTTAGACCCTTAGTGTTTTCTTCCACCTTTTTTTTTGGCTGGCAAAAATAGCTTAAGTTGTTGTTTATACTATCTATATATATTCATATTCATGTCAAGGAGACCCATGACTGATTACTATTACGGCTCAACATCATAGATTAGAGGATTGACTTTAATACACTACCTCAACTATACCGCTTCTTCGGTGTACACCCTAAACTTTTTGTCTCTTTTTTATACACCATAAACAATTTATTTCTCTATTAAACATCACAAACTATACTTTCTCTTTTAATTGCAACATAGCGATTCTAAATTGTGATTAGATTTATTAAACCGTTAATTGCGTTTCAAAAACCAAGAATAGCTTAAGTAAACCCAAAAACTACAATTTATTTACCCTTTTTTGCCGTAAAAAAAAATAACAAAAATATAAAATAAAAAACCACGTTAACCACCATCTTCGTCTTCTTCATATCAAAAATCCCCACCTTTATTTAGAATTTCTTCAACGTGTTCTTTTGTTATTTCTTTGCAAGATAAAAGAAATCTATTAATCTAATATTAAAATTCATAGCTGACGAATTCTCATTGTTTCAAGAAATAAAAACTATCACCAAGATCACAAAAACTTCAAAACAAAAACTCCAAAACAAACCATTCATGTTTGCAAAACTAAACTAACAGGAACACGTTCATAGCACTATTAAACTTCACTCATAAATCACCATGTCGGGGTTGTTTGTGATGGTTGCGTGAGAGAGATTGTATCCGGTACTTGAGACTTGAGGTGTCAGACGGGCCGGCCCGCGATGGGCATTTAAGTTTGTGAGACCGCGGCGGGCCGGCCCGCTAGGATCGCGGACAAAAATGATATGTCCAGGCCCGCCCCGCTAAATCCAACGGGTTAGCGGGCCGACCCGCGGGCTTAATTTAAATATTTAAAAAATAATTTAAAAAATAAAATTAATTTTTAAAATTTGAAATTAACAATTTTTCAATTAAAAAAACTTTTAGAATTATTTTTTTTTGTAAATCTTATACTTTTATACATTAAATTTTGTTATATGTTTATATATTTCACATATATATTTTCAGAATTATGTAAAAGTATTTATTTATTTATATTAATTATTTATTTTTATTAAATATTTGTAGTCCACGGGCCGGCCCGCAAATCCGCGGATAAAACCCGCAAAAATCCGCAATTCACCTGGGCTTGTCCGCGAGGCCCGCTATTTTATGGACATAAAAAATGATATCCAAGCCCGCCCCGCCGTGGGCTACTTGGACAAAGCCCGCGGGCCGATGGCCCGCTTGACACCTCTACTTGAGACGATGATGACACATCCTGAAAAAGAAACACAAATACAAAGAATTACTATATAAACCAGAAAGGTAATAGAAGGAAAAATTGGATCATACCTCAGTAGTTCTTTGTCTCTTCGACTTTTCCTTGGGATATTGCTTACACCCAGCTGCATTATGGCCAGTTTCACGGCAAGACGAACAACGTACAATACGTCCTTTCCTTCCAAGTGTTTCTTTTATTGTTTTTTTCTGCGGCGACTCGTGTTTTCCTTTAATCCTTGGATATGTCTATTTGTTTTCTTCTTACCAGGTAGTATAGGCTCTGGTGGTGCTGTTACCAAGCGATACGTAGAAGTCATCCAGAATCTTGGCCCTCTCATTGGATGTATGGACTGCTCGTAATTGTCTCGCCACAAATCAGTGCTGAAAAATCCTGATACATAACTTTCAACATTCATATCGTAATCAATCATTGCTCCATAGGCATGCTCACATGGAATCCCACTGATTTGCCATTTACCACATGTACATTTTCTTTTCTTCGTGTTCACCGAATAATCATTCCCATAAAGCATAACCTCATAAACTCCATGAGTTGCCGGAGTTGTTTCACACTTGCTTGCATCTTTCTTCTCTTTCGCGAGAATCTTGGCAACATACTCTGTAAACATTCCTTCATGATTCTTGGATTTGTTATGCCTCTTCACCATTCGATTCATAGCTTGCCTCCTAATTGTGTCCAGCATTGGAATCATTGCCTTAGCTCTTGCTTTCGTAATTGATGCGTTGAATGATTCCGTCGCGTTGTTATCAACATCCTCACAGTTGCTTCCAAGTTTAAAGAAAGCTCTTGACCACATCTCGGGTTGTTTTTTCATCACTAAATTGTAGACATCAATGCTATACTCTTTCACCTTGTTGAGGTTCTCTTTAAACTCAGTCTTGTTGTAGCTCCAAGCTAGTTGCCATATCAATGGTTTGATCAAATCTTTTTTTGGATGCTTGTTCTTCAAGTTCTCAATGATGTGTTTTACACAAAATCTATGTTCAGCAAAACTAGCAAAAACACAAAAAAATAATGAAAATTAAATATCATTAAAATATTGGAATTACATATACGAGTAAACGTCATATGCATTATCTCATTGACTTTTCTTATGCATATACAGTAGGAGCAAAACCATGACTACAATTATACGTGTAGAAAGAAAAGTCACAACAAATAGAGAAGTCACAATGTTGATACATACCTTCGATTTATCAGAGATCAAAACAAATCCTTCTCCATCTTGAAGTTTTAAATCAGCCTTGAGTTGCTGGAGGAACCATAGCCAGTTATCCCCAGTTTCAGATTGTTACCACAGCCCAAGCAAGCTAAGTGGATAAATTTGATTGTTTGCATCATGACCAACTGCAGCCAACAACACGCCTTTCACTGCCGTCTTCAAGAACGTACCATCAAGTCCGATGATTGGTCGACAAGAGGCCCTCCAAAGTGTGCGGATTATTTCAAAACACACATAAAAGCGGTTAAAAACATCTTCACCGGCAGAGTTAGGGATAGTTTCAACAATGGCAGTTGATCCCGGATTAGTAGATAGAATCTCTTCCACATAACCGCGAATGTGAGTAAATTGTTCTTCATACTCCTTCTCAAGCAACTTCAGAGCTAGCAGCCTTGCGCTTTGGCATTGACCCCTAGAACTCACTATCTTCCAGTGATCTTTAATGTGATTTTGAATTTCCTTAGGCATGAATTTAGGATTTACTCTTAGCTTGTCCATGAAAAGCCTTGCAATAACAGGACTTCTGAGTATTTTGCATCTCCCATTCGGAGTACAACTGTGCTTTCTATATGTCGTCTTTACCACCCACATTTGCCTCCACTTACACTTACCAACAATACCACACTTGAATTCAAGCTTTGTCTTCTCCCATCTTCCTTGAACCACATTATTCCCTGTGTTTAAAGCATACTCAATTATAGCCTCTTTAAACTTAACACCATTGAAGAACAATTGACCTATAGATAATCTATCAACTCTGCTCCTTCGGATTCTTCTATCTCGCAGAACAATCGGATCTTCCTCTTCATCCGAACTATCAGGAATTTCATTTCGGCCAACAGAAAACTCATCAACGAAATTCCCTACTGAATCTTCTACTTCAAACTCAAACCGGTCCATTCCATCCTCTTCATCTTCGGCTTTACTCTCGTTTTTCTTTTTCTTGCCTTCCTTTTTGTTTTTTTTGTTTTTTATTGTCATCTTCGTTTTCCTCACTACCATTGTTATCAACATCTTCCATATCAATGTCGGGTTGTATCTCATCCATGTTTTTTTCCGTAGATTACGTAACTGAAAAAAAAAAAAAAAAACTAAGCCTACGAAACCAGCAAAGAGAGAGAAGCTATGAAACCAGAGAGAGAGAAGACCTTACCAGAGGAGAAATTGAGAGGAAGAGAGAAACGAGTTATTCTCGTGATGAAGTTGAGAAACCCTAAGATTTGTGATTTTTGTTACGTAGAAGAAGAAGATGGGTTTAAATCGTGGGTTATTGGGGCTTTTGTTCTCTTTTTTTCACAGCAAAAAAAAATTGTAGTTTTTGGGTTCACTTAAGCTAATCGTGGTTTTTTAAACGCGATTACCGGTTTAGTAAATCTAATCACAATTTAGAATCACTATGTTGCAATTAGAAGAGAAAGTATAGTTTGTGATGTTTAATAGAGAAAAAATTTATTTATGATGTATAAAAAAGAGACAAAAAGTTTAGGGTGTATACCGTATAAACGGTGTAGTTGAGGTAGTGTATCAGAGTCAACCCTATATTAGAGATTTAAACAGTATATAATTTAGAGATCTTTAGCTCAAACATAAAGACGTTGATATTGGTTACCTATAGTCTATAGAGTCTCAGTATAAATTTAGGCTTACGAGTTATTACTTTAGCTTTAAATATCTTTATGACAAACTTTAAAAATGGAAATATTTATTTTGAAAAATGTACATAACAAACTAAATTGTAGGATGTGGATTTTTATTGGGCACACATATATATATAAGGGAAATTGCACTATCTATACATGGAAGAATCAATATTTAGTTCTCTCCTCAAAACTGTTCCCTTTTACTGTTTTGCTTTTTATGACAATTATACCCCTGAAATATATTAATCAACTAATTGAAGAGATGATGATAACTAAACCGACGAAATATAAGAACTAGAGATGTGGCGGTGACGATACGTCGATATCTACTCATTGACTATGATCTCATCACCGATGCTCTCCCGTCTGCACGATCTACACGAGATGGCACAACCACTCATGACAACGTCGTCGTAGTATCATTGTGCTCCATCATGGTTCATCACTGCCGTTCTTCTACTTCTCGCTATCTCCATTTTTTTGCTTTGTTTTCTGCAGATTTGCTGGTTTTGTTAGGGAACTTCTCTTCATCTCACTAATAATTGTTTTTTTTTTCTTTCTCCATCATTGTTCTCTTTCTTTTGTTGATAGTTTTTTTGGTGTGAAATAAAAGAAGATCGATGGTTCTAGATCCGACATAATGGTGTCGGTGGCTATGCAAAACAAATCCAGCAATGCGTCAATCTTCAGTTCCTCAAAAAGGAAGACCAAGGCGGGTGTTGGTTCCGGGATTTGGACAGAGTGATTATTCAATTCCGACGAAACTGGTTACAACAATGGTGATTTTGATTTTGAAGACAAATGGAACTAATCCGTTCATCTGTTCTTGTCATCCTAACTATATATAGCAATTGTTAATATATTAGTTACCGAGATAAATAATGAAAATAAATATTTTAACATGTTACGAAAAATGATAATTGCTAATATACTAGTTACCGAGTGAAATAAAAACAAAATTAGTTATTAACGTGATAAAAATATAAATAATTTACTACCCATAGAGTTATCTATGATGTAACATATAATTTACCATTTTAAAAGATATGTTAGGGTGATAACTAATTTACTAGTGTATATATAAGTTAACGGTAATAATTAAATTATCAAAATAAGTAAACATGTTAATATATAAGTTAGCTGATACCAATCATATAATAAATGATTTAACACGATAAACATATTTTCGGCGTAAGAAGAATAGTGCTTTTACATTACTAATGTTTAGAAAAAACAGCTTATTAAAAGTTATATCGACATAAAATAATATATATCGTGCTAATAAAATAATTAACTACTTAAAATTGTTACCGCCAAAACTCATTTTTTGCTGCTGCATCTAAACTCTTTATCTCGATATTTTACTTGTTAACGCGCATATGTGACTAAGAGTATTTTTGGCATTACCTTGAGTCGGATGAAAGAGAACTAAATAACTAATCTTCATGTATAGATTTTTAATTATTTCTTCTTCCAGGTATATATATTTCATTCACCCTATATATAAACCTTTAAAAGATGATAGTAAAAATATTGTAAAAGAACCACCAAAACTTTGTTGCCTAACTAACTGTTATGCAAATCCAAATCCGCATAACACATATTGTTGATCACATAAAACAGATATTGTGGAAAAACTGAGTTTGTAATATTTTTTTTTATTAGGACTGTGTATTTTGGGTATCATGACTGAGAATAGCAAGTAATTAACATTATAGTAGTGGTAATTCATGTGTATAAAACATATCCAACAAAGTACGATATAGTTCATATGTACCTAAAATTACTGTTTAGACTCTCACTAAATCAGATAAATGTTGGATACTGGTTAAGTTCTTTTAGAAAAAATTGAGTATTTTGTTTTTTCAGTTAATCAAATGGCTATTCGAGTCTATATCCCATTCTATAACCAAATGATCCATATAATGTAATTAACATGAACTTATACAAATCAGATAATCTGAACCAAAAATATTTGGGTCGAATCCAGACTCATCTAAAAAAAAGTTGGATTCACAATGGAGTTGAAACATGTTTTTTAAAAAGTAGTTTTCTTGCAAGATCAAAGAAATCATTTAAAGAGAGTCTAAAACTAACTCATTTAAAACCTATAGAATCCAAATCATTCAAAATCGTTGGGCTTCTTGTTAAGGATTCTTTGTATGGGCTTTTTAGTTCGCATATCAAAATGCTCCAAAACATATCCTTGGGAAACACAATCCCAAATCTTTTCCAAGACCTTTCGTTTCTTTGTCAGCGACACTTCGTTAATTATCGTTAAAATTTTGAAATTGTTATAATTAAGAAAAATAATGTATCGTAAATTTTCTATCGATCATTTATGTTGAAAATGGTATAATAATAAAATTATTTAAAGAGATAGAAATATAAGGGAGAAAGAGTAATAATGTGGGAAGAAACTATACATTTCTTTGTTAAGTGAATCAATGGTGTCTCTTACAATGGAGTGGAAGAGCATATTTATAGTACCAAATAATTTCACCAAACTATTCCACTACTCCAAACTATTCTACTACTCCAAACCATTCCACTACACCAAACTATTCCATTACTTTATGGTAGTGATTGAATGACTTATGAGCTCCATTCAATATTCAAGAGTTTGATTTTTGTAACACTCCCCCTTGGAGTTCATTTGTCATTCATGTCTTTGCGATGTGCTTCATGTTGCCTCGTTAAAAACCTTTCTAGGAAAACCCGGTGGGAAAAACCATAGTAGGTAAAAAGAGTGCAACCGCGCAAGCTCCCCCTCGAATGATCAAGATCATAACTTACAAGTCTTGTTGACGAATCATTCCAATGTTATGAACATGTTTTCTGAACATAGAGGTGGGCAATGATTTTGTGAAGAGATCCGCAGAATTCTTGGATGATTGGATATATCTTACTTCAATGTCTTTATTCTTCACGAGCTCTTGGGTGTATGAAAAGAACTTCGGAGGGATATGTTTGGTTCTATCGCTTTTGATAAATCCTTCCTTTGTCTGAGCAACACATGCAGCATTGTCTTCATACAAGATAGTTGGCTCCGTTTTTAGACGAATTCCACTACTTGTTTGAATGTGTTGACTTATCGATCGTAGCCATACCCATTCTCTACTCGCTTCATGGAGTGCGATGATTTCAGCATGATTTGAAGAAGTAGCTACAAGCGTCTGCTTCTGAGAACGCCATGATATAGCAGTACCACCAATCGTGAACACGTATCCTGTTTGTGATCGAGCTTTGTGTGGGTCTGATAAATAGCCTGCATCTGCAAAACCAATCATTTGACCATTTATATTTTTAGGATAAAATAACCCTAAATCAATAGTCCCTTGAAGATAACGAAAGACATGTTTAACCCCATTCCAATGTCTTCGTGTAGGGGATGAACTAAATCTAGCCAAAAGATTGACTGAAAAAGATATATCAGGTCGAGTGCAATTTGCAAGATACATAAGGGCTCCAATTGCACTTAGATACGGTACTTCAGGACCGAGTATCTCTTCATTCTCCTCAGGTGGTCTGAATGGATCACTCTCAACATTAAGTGATCTAACGACCATTGGAGTACTGAGAGGAGTTGCCTTATCCATATTTAAACGTTTTAACACTCTTTTGGTGTATGTGGATTGATGAACAAATATACCTTTTTGAGTATGTTCAATTTGTAGGCCAAGACAAAATTTTGTTTGTCCGAGATCTTTCATCTCAAATTCCCCTTTTAAATAGTTTGTTGCTTTCTGTATTTCTGCTTGAGTCCCGATTATATTTAGATCATCAACATATACCGCGATTATCACAAATCCGGAATTTGTTTTCTTTATGAAAACACATGGGCATATAGGATCATTCACATATCCTTCTTTCGTTAAATGCTCACTGAGACGATTATACCACATTCGTCCAGATTGCTTTAACCCATATAATGCTCTCTGCAACTTTATTGCACACAACTCTTTGGGTTTAGATTTTAATGCTTTTGGCATATTAAACCCATCGGGAACTCTCATATAGATATCTGTATCCAATGATCCATATAAATATGTTGTAACGACATCCATGAGACGCATCTCTAGATTTTTGCCAGCTGCTAGACTCATCAGAAATCTAAATGTTATAGCATCCATAACGGGGGAATATGTTTCCTCATAATCAATCCCGGGTCTTTGAGAAAATCCTTGAGCTACGAGACGAGCCTTGTATCTCGTAATTTCATTTTCCTCATTTCGTTTTCTAACGAAAACCCATTTGTATCCAACCGGTCTCACATCTTCAGGTGTGAGTACAATAGGTCCGAATACATTTCGCTTATTGAGCGAATCAAGTTCGACTTGTATTGCATCTTTCCATTTTATCCAGTCATGTCTCTTTTGACATTCATAATGAAAAAATGTAACGTGCAAGTCTAATCGCATGACTCACCCAAGAATGCGTACACCTAAACTGATTTTGACGTTAGTTAACATTTAATAATAGAACTAATCATTTAATTACAAACAAGTGCTTTGTCAACGTGTAATATATTACTATGTTTTAGCAAATGACTACGTATATAGTTTATAATCTTACTTGGCCTCCACGCAGGAACTACTAACATTTATCCAAAGGCTTTAAAGACATTTTGATTTAGATTAAAACATAAACATCATTCTCACTTTCAATAAAAAATGTTCATGGGAATTCAAAATCAGAATCACATTTCCCAAACCATTGAATAATTCCAATCATGGAATCAAAATATTTAAAAACAATCCTTTAGTAGACAAGGTCAAAAGCTTATCCTTCACATAAACAAATGACTTAGGTTTGGTTTCAGACTTGCTTGCAATACATAACAAAGTAAGCAGCCAAAGTTACATTAAAACACAAGCATTTGGTCAAAACAACAAAGCACATGGAAAAAGAGATTTGAATCTTGAGTGTTATGGAGATTAAGGTTGATGAAGAAGCTGGGACCATCGGCGCTCGCCGGATCAAAGAAGAAACTGTTCCACTCCTGGATGATCGAAATCGAAATCGGGACTTTCCTGACATAGAAAGGAACACTATGATGCAAAAGGCAATAGGTAAGACTTTTCAGACCACAGCTAATCTAGCTAATCTTTTACCAACGGGGACAGTTCTTGCGTTCCAGATCTTATCGCCAATTTGCACAAATGCTGGGCAATGCGATCTAGCTAGCAGAGTCATGACTGCATTGCTAGTTTCCATCTGTGGGTTCTCTTGTTTCATACTTAGCTTCACAGATTCTTACAAGGACTTGAATGGAAATGTCTGCTATGGATTTGCAACAATCCATGGTTTTTGGATAATTGATGGCTCAGCTACTCTTCCTCAAGAACGTTCCAAAAGCTACAAAGTACGGTTTATAGACTTCGTACATGCCATTATGTCATTTCTGGTTTTTGGAGCCGTGGTTTTGTTTGATCAGAATGCGGTTAAATGTTTCTTTCCTGAACCATCAGCTGAAGTAGCAGACCTTCTCACAACTTTGCCCGTAGCCGTAGGAGTCTTCTGCAGTATGGTGTTCGCTACGTTTCCTACTACACGCCACGGTATTGGTTTTCCCCTCTCTGCTAAATGATGTTCTGAATCAAAATGTAAAAATCTTCTTAACCCCTTTGGAATCTCTGAAATTCTCTGTTGTATCTTGTGCTTTACCATTCTTCTGAGATGGTCTTTTGAATAGAATATCTCAATGTTTGTGTATGTTGTTCCACGCGATATGTTTGCTTCAGCTGTCTTATTCTAATCTTCCTTGCACTAACTTAGATATCCAAATCTCTGAGAAGAGAATCTGAAGCTTCTCCTACAATTGTGTTATCCAACGTGTGACCTATAAGTAGCTTCCATGTTCCTTTATTTGGAATACATCCGTCAGTCACTATCTCGTCAACTAATTGAACAGCTTTCTGGAATTCACCCTTTTTGCACAAACACTTCACCAAAGAGTCTAGTGTTTCAACCTCAACCGAGATGCCTCTACTCCTCATGCTTAGATATAGAGTAAATGCACGACTTGGATAGTTTGTACAAAGACCTCGGACTACTTCATTACTTGTCTTAACATGGATGTTCCAAGTTAAACGATTTGGAGTAATTCCTCCTAGAATCATCTCGTCGAGGAAATTGGCAGCTTCGCGAAACTTACTGACAGCACAAAACCCACTGATTACTTTCCCATATAATCCAGCATCAGGTTTTAAACCCTGAAGATTCATTCTATCGAGAAGTTCAACGGCTTCTTGAATCTTCTGCTCCTTACAGAGACCAGTGATCAAAGTGGTATACGTTACCATGTTTGGCCTGCAGCCTCTAGCCATCATCATCTCAAATAACTCCATGGCTTGCAAAGAACGACCATCTTTGCAAAGACCGTCCATCAAAGAACTGTACGTGAAAACATTCGGCTCGATGCCTTTACCTTTCATCTCTTCAACATATCTCATTGCTTCATCAACATTTTTCGATCCACACAAACCGTTAATCAGAGAAGTATATGTAACAACAGTTGGTGCACAGTCCTTTTCAACCATCTCCGTAAACAACTTCTTCGCCTCATCTATCCTTCCGAACCGACACAAACCACTAATCAAGGTTCCATATGTGTAAGAATCCGGATCACACCCTCGTTTAGGCATTTCATGAAAAATCTTAAGACCAGCATCCACTGTCCCGTCATTTCTGCAAAGAGCTTTGATCAAAACATTGAGAGATGCCACGGTAGGAGGCAAACCAATCTCTCTCATATTCTTGTAAAACTTAAAGGCCAAATTTAACTGATTCTCTTCCACGAGAATAGCAAGAACAGTGACATAAGCCTTCTGGCTAGGATCACAATCAAAATCCTTCATCTTGTGAAAAACCCTTAAAGAATCAAACGGCCTATGAACCCGACCATACCCTCTACATATAGAAAGCAAAATATCTTCACTAACAACACAATTCTCAATCTTCATTCTTGCAACAATATCTTCAGCTGCTTTGAACTTATTAGCAGAGACCAACCTCGACACCATATAACCAAAAGAACTCTGATCATGTAAGTACCCATTTGCGTATTCTGCCGTTGCGGAATCAAAAACCGCAATTGACTTCTCCACGTCTTTTTCAGCTCGCATCAGTTTGATAACTTGTGAAGGCGTGATATTCTTAGACCACTTGAACATCATCATTTTGCTACCCATTACTAAACAATAGTAAAGAATAAACCTTTTGCTAGAGAATCTCAGCTACGCATTACGTCGAACAGGTTGTGTGCATTAACGATTTCAGTTACCTCAGACCAAATCAGTGAAACACAGACCAGGTAAAATCATTCGATCATCAAAGCCAACGAATAGAGAGAGCAATCACTGACACAAACGACGATTTCACTAACATTTTCCCCGTTTTCCTCTGAAAACTTCCCTCTGTGCTAATATCAACAGCTTCTCTGAGTTATAGACCCTTCTCAGTAAACCACCAAATGTGAAGGAATCAACAATGATTCTCGTTACGAACTAGAAGGTGAATCAAATTGCTGGAGAAGAATCGATCACCAGTTTTGGCGACTTAGATTTAGGGTTTATGATATGGGAGACTTTAGCTACAAAGAGCAGAGTCTCTAGATGATTTAGAGGTGTCTGAGAAATTACACTCCATACCAAAGAAAATAAAAAAATTATGTCAAAGGATGGATTTGTTATAATACATCATATTGGACTTATAACCGGGCCCAATAAGCCCATCAGGGTTATTCATTATGTACCCTAAAACCCTAGGTTTATATGCCTACATATATGTATCATTATTCATGGAATGGAATGAGAGAGAACAATAAGTTTTACAACACGTTATCAGCACGATTTTGCTCTTAACAACCCTAACCCTAAAAATCGCAAAACACTGTTCACGCCGACACTGTTCATCGACACTGTTCATCGATACTGTTCATCGACACTGTTCGCCGATACTGTTCACGCCGATACTGTTCATCGGTACTGTTCATCGACAGCGTGAGTTACCGAGGTATTAAGTTCCCGGTTCAATCCGTTCAACCCCAATTGGTGAAAGGTAAAAACAAAACCTTAAAAGCTTAAAGATCAAAAAAAAAAAAAAAAACCTTGTATTGCTTAAACCTAACACTCAAATTAGCTGCTGATAATCATAAACTTATGATTACTTAGCCATGGCTGAAACCTTAAAACCTAAATCAAATCAAATCCGAAACCCTAACGATTTTGCGTTTGAAAACCGCAAAATTCAAATCGTTTTCCTCAAAAAGAAACGAAAACCCTAATTTGTGTATCCCCTAAACCGGAAATCATTCTTAGTTAACCCCTAAACCCGAATATCAATTCGGTTCATCGGTTAAACCGATTATCAAACCGGTCCCGAAAATAATAACCGGATCTCAATCTGGGTAAACCGGTTCAAACTGGTTATTCTAAACCGGAAATCAATTCGGCCCAAACCGGAATCTAATATTCCGGTCCAACTTTAAACCATTAAACCGAACTTATGTTCCGTATCCTTTAAAATTTACGATTCCCGAGAAAGTTTCCTAAAATAGAAACCTTCCTCAAATAACAAATGACCCGGAAAGAAAACTTTCCTCATTTAGAAAGTTTCCCAAATTAGTAACTTTCATCATTTAGGAGGTTTCCTCAAATAGAAACTTTCCTCATTTAGAAGGTTTCCTAAAATAGAAACTTTCCTCAAATAGCAAATGACCCGGAATGAAAACTTTCCTCATTTAGAAAGTTTCCCAAATTAGAAACTTTCCTCATTTAGAAGGTTTCCTCAAATAGAAACTTTCCTCATTTAGAAAGTTTCCCTCAAATAGAAACTTTCCTCATTTAGAAGGTTTCCTAAAATAGAAACTTTCCTCAAATAGCAAATGACCCGGAATAGAAACTTTCCTCATTTAGAAAGTTTTCCTCAAATAGAAACTTTCCTCATTTAGAAAGTTTCCCTCAAATAGAAACTTTCCTCATTTAGAAGGTTTCCTAAAATAGAAACTTTCCTCAAATAACAAATGACCCGAAAAGAAAACTTTCCTCATTTAGAAAGTTTCCCAAATTAGAAACTTTCCTCAAATATAAAGTTTCCTCAAATAGAAACTTGCCTAAAATAGAAAGTTTCCTCAAAATAGAAATTTTCCTCATTTAGAAAGTTCCCCAATTTAGAAACATTCCTCAAATATAAAGTTTGCTCAAATAGAAACTTGCCTAAAATAGAAAGTTTTCCAACTATTATTTTAACAAACCCCTAATGAAATCAATTTCATGTTCGAGGCCCTCAAGGTCTCCGGTGAAAACTATCTCGAATGGGCCCTGGACACCAGGATTTTCCTCAACTCAAAGGGACTGGGTGCGTGTATCCAAGCGGATAACAAAGCCTCTGATAAAGACCGGTCCCAGGCGATATTTCATATCCGCCATCATTTGGCCGCGAGCCTCAAACAACAATATCTCACTCTTGAGAACCCACTCGAACTTTGGGTGGCCCTGAAAAAACGGTATGATCACCAGAAAACGGTGCTCTTGCCACAAGCCAAGTTTGACTGGAAGGAACTCCGGTTCCAAGATTACAAATCTGTGGATGACTACAACTCCGAACTCTTTCGGATAGTTTCAATCATGAAACTATGTGGTGAAGAGGTGTCTGATAATGATCTCCTCGAGAAAACATTATCCACCTTCCATACCCAAAACATTGTGCTTCAGCAGCAATATCGTGCAATGAAACATACATTGTACGAAGATTTGTTATCTTGTTTGCTCTTGGCTGAGAAAAACAACGAGCTGTTAATGAGGAACAGTGCCCAGAGGCCCCCGGGATCGGCTCCAGTACCATATTCCCGCAAAGAATCGTGGCCGTGGACATGGGAATGGACGTGGAAAGCGTGGACGCGGAAATGGACGTGGCAACCGACATAACCTCGGTTATGGTTCCGGTAAGGGCCGTGGTATCTCTAAACCAAACCGCCCTGCCCACCCAACCAATCAGTCTGCCTGCACCAGTTGCGGAATGTTCAATCACTGGACAAAGAACTGTCGTATTCCCAAGTTTCATTGCGATTTTTATCAGAAACATGGGAAAGCACCTGCTGAAGCTAACATGGCCCTGCAAGTTGATGCTAACGACACCACCATCGAGCCGACCGATCCCATGGACTACGAGATCTCAGATCTCCTCGATTGATTCTATCATCTGAACATGTGTTGTTATCAAACGGCACACATCTGGACATTCCAGATGCATTATACTCACCCAACTCAAAAAGAAACCTTTTAAGTTTTAAAGATATCAGACTTAATGGTTTCCACATAGAAACCCAGGGTGAAGGGAATAAAGAATCCCTACTGATCACTAAGATCACACTTGGCCATAAACAAGTCCTCGAGACTATACCCGCTTTATCTACTGGCCTTTACTATGCCAAGGTCAGTATGATTGAGGCTAATAATGCTCTCAAAGCCCGGTTCCAAGACTACACTATTTGGCACGACCGGCTTGGTCATCCCGGTACAACCATGATGCGTAAATTAATCCAAAGTTCTCAAGGACACACCCTTCGAGAAAACCGAGTCTTCCCTCAGCACCTCATGTGCACAGCTTGCTCCCAAGGGAAGTTGATCACTCGGCCTTCACCAGTAAAAGTGTCCAAAGAGACATTGCATTTTCTGGAAAGAATCCAAGGAGATATCTGTGGTCCCATTCACCCACCTTCTGGGACATTCCGGTACTTCATGGTACTAATAGATGCTTCGACCCGTTGGTTGTATGTATGCCTATTGTCTTCTCGGAACCAAGCTTTTGCTAGGTTTTTGGCTCAAATCATCAGATTACGAGCCCACTTTCCAGACTTCCCACTAAAGACTATACGTCTTGATAATGCTGGTGAATTCACTTCCCAAGCGTTTAATGATTACTGTATGGCCATGGGGGTGACCGTTGAACATCCTGTGGCACATGTCCATACTCAGAATGGACTTGCTGAATCATTCATTAAACGAATCCAATGGATTGCTCGACCATTACTCATGAGGTCGAAGCTCCCGGTCTCAGCTTGGGGACATGCAGTATTACATGCTGCTGAATTAATACGCATCCGACCATCTAGTGAGCATAGATATTCCCCATCCCAATTATTACAGGGTCATGAGCCAGACATCTCCCATCTCAAAACATTTGGGTGCTCAGTCTATGTACCCATTGCTCCACCACATAGAACCAAAATGGGACCTCAAAGGAGGATGGGAATATATGTTGGTTTTGATTCTCCCACCATCATCAAATATCTCGAGCCGACCACTGGAGACCTAGTTAAGGCCAGATATGCGGATTGCCAATTTGATGAATCGGTATATCCAACATTGGGTGGAGAGAAACATAAGCTGGTCAAAGAGCTATCATGGAATCAAACATCCTTAAATTGGCAAGATCCTCGGACTCTAGAATGTGATTCGGAGATCCAAAAGATTATACACTATCAAAAGCTAGCTAATCAATTGCCAGATTCCTTTGCTGACCCGAACAAAGTAACCAAATCGTACATACCAGCTTGTAATGCACCAGTACGAATCACTGTTCCAACGGGACAAGTTCAAGTTGCTACAGAGTCTGCATCACGAAATAAACGTGGCAGACCTCTAGGTTCCAAAGACAAGAATCCACGGAAATCAAAGAAAGGTGCAATAGTTGAAACCGGGATTCCCAATATAACAGACATAGCGCGCGCTGAGACTCACTCTAATGAACCACCAGAAGAGGTTCGGGACGCCGAATCTCTAGGTTCTGACGAGATCGATAACGATGAGATCTCTATCAATTACAACATGTCTGGAACCCAATGGAACAGAAAAGAAGTCGACTTAAATGCACTCTTTGCATACAAAGTAGCACTTGATATTGCGAACACGCAAGAGGATCTAGAACCCACGTCTATCACAGAGTGCACTCATAGAACAGACTGGCTAAAATGGAAAGAAGCCATAAACGTGGAGTTAAAGAGTCTCAAACTCAGGAATGTGTTTGGTCCGATCATCCGGACACCATTCAATGTCAAACCAGTGGGCCATAAATGGGTCTTTGTGCGTAAAAGAAACGAACTCGGTGAAGTCGTTCGTTATAAAGCACGGCTTGTAGCACAAGGATTCTCACAGAGACCCGGAATCGATTATGAGGAGACTTATTCTCCGGTGGTGGATGCAACTACTTTTCGATTCCTCATAAGTCTGGCCATAAGAGAAAATCTAGATTTGCGGTTAATGGATGTTGTCACCGCATATCTCTATGGGCCCCTCGACAATGAAATATACATGAGATTACCAGATGGCATAGAGCTTAAAGATAAGCATGCATCTCGAGATCAATACTGCATCAGGCTGAACAAATCCTTGTATGGACTGAAACAAAGTGGACGTATGTGGTATAACCGGTTAAGCGAATATCTCATCAGAGAAGGCTACAAAAACGATCCCATCAGTCCATGCATTTTCATCAAGAAATACTCAAACAAAGGATTTGTAATCATAGCAGTTTACGTGGATGATCTAAACATCCTCGGAACATCTGGTGAAATCTCCCAAACAATCGACTGCTTGAAAGCAGAATTCGAAATGAAAGACCTAGGTAAAACTAAATTCTGTTTGGGTTTACAACTTGAGTACGTTAAAGGAGGAATCCTTGTGCATCAAGCGGCTTACATTGAAAAAGTACTCAAGCGATTCAATATGGACCAGGCCCACCCATTGAACAGCCCAATGGTTGTCCGGAGCCTAGGATTGGACAGTGATCCATTTGGTCCCAAGAAGGACGATGAAGAAATTCTCGGTCCAGAAAAGCCATACCTCAGTGCTGTAGGAGCGTTAATGTACTTGGCTAGTCACACTAGACCAGACATTTGTTTTGCCGTGAACCTCCTAGCTCGCTTCAGCTCATGTCCAACTCAGAGGCACTGGAATGGTATCAAACACCTCCTAAGATACCTTCAAGGTACTAAAGACTTAGGACTGTTTTACACTAACCACAACAAGGATGGACTAGTTGGTTTTGCTGATGCAGGATATCAATCAGATCCGCACAATGCCAAGTCTCAAACTGGTTATGTGTTCACGCATGGAGGAACAGCTATCTCTTGGAGATCGATAAAGCAGACAATCACTACCACTTCATCAAACCATGCAGAACTTTTGGCCATTCACGAAGCCAGCAGAGAATGTGTTTGGCTACGATCCATGACTCAGCACATCCGATCAGATTGTGGTATGAAAGAAGATAAGGAGCCCACGGTTATGTTTGAAGACAACGCGGCTTGCATTGCTCAACTCAAGGAAGGTTATATCAAAGGAGATCGGACGAAGCACATCCTACCGAAATTCTTCTCAACCTCGGATTGGCAGAAGGATGGTACGATCAGCGTTCAACAGGTCCGATCATGCGATAACTCCGCCGACCTTTTTACCAAATCATTGCCCGCTTCAACACTCCGGAAGCTCATCCAACAAATAGGAATGCGTAGACTTAGAGATCTACGGTGATGCTCTAATCAGGGGGAGTAATGCGTGTTGTACTCTTTTTCCTTCACCATGGTTTTTCCCACTGGGTTTTCCTGGTAAGGTTTTAATGAGGCAACATTCCCCAGCGTATTATCGAGATCCCGATTGACCATCAGGTCCGGTTACTCCGTCCAAGGGGGAGTGTTATAATACATCATATTGGACTTATAACCGGGTCCAATAAGCCCATCAGGGTTATTCATTATGTACCCTAAAACCCTAGGTTTATATGCCTACATATATGTATCATTATTCATGGAATGGAATGAGAGAGAACAATAAGTTTCACAACAGGATTATCATAATTTTGAATTGTCTTTGAAAATATTTAGTAAAGACGAAAATACCTTCATCATCTACATCACATACAATATGATGTATGTAAATTGGTTGACTTTCAAAATAATAATTTATTTGATTTCTTTAAATTGGTTTTATATTTTTGGTAAAAATGCAATCATTCACCCCTATAAACTCGAATTTCAATCTCATAAAGTTTGGAGTTTCATCGTCATCAATAAAAAAAGGTTTTTATATTAAACTTGTCTTCGTCTTTTCACTTGAAATCTTATTGTCTTTGAAGTAAACATTGTCTCATCGTAAAATTGAAGTGACGATATTGAATTGGATTCGATGTGTAAGAGCATGATTATAGGTGGTCTCTTAGAAATTAATCTTAGCAATATTGAAGTAATTTATTTGTAAAAGTGATTGTTAAGAGATAGTATTTTTGAGTTAAGATTTTTGTGTGATTAATGGTAAGCTCTTAACATGTGGTTCTTAGAAAAATAAATATTAATATAAAAAAAAATTTATAATTATAGAAAATTTAATAATTGTTGCAAATTAAAAAAATTAAAACATGAGATACAATTTTTATAACATAAATAACATAAAGCACAAATGTTTTAAACTTAATTTCTGAAATATTTTGTCCATATATGTTCGACCAAATCCTTATTCAATTGTTGATGCATAGCTCGATCACGAAGTCGATTTCTAGTGGACCATCATATCGACGAGATTTTGATAAAGAACAAGAGTTTAGAAAAGATTGTTTTGTGGTAAAAAGAACAAGAATTTAGAAAAGTAGAAAAGATTGTTTTGTAGTATGAAGAACAAAAGTCTTTGGTAAATCACTTGGGGTATAAAGAAGAAGAGTTGAATTGTAAACGATTGTTGCATTAGTTTGTGAGAACAAGAGTGAAATATATAGAAATCCCAAAGCGAGTGTCGAATTATTGACACAAAACTAATGTGGTGTACAAGCAAAGTAGAAATATGTGGTCTCCATTAGCTTCAACTTGCCAATGACTTGTCCTCTTCTTGTCCTGTTTTCTCAGCGTGTTGAAGATGCCTTCCACTCACTGCAGCCTCCCTGACTGAGTCATCATTATCCCATCCTCCCTACATGAATACGTGAAACGGATATGTTACTTCGTTTCCAAACAAAGGAAAAAGCAAGAAGAAACAGCATTTGCTTTGTACCTTGGGAAACAAAAGTCATAAACATGAACATAAACATGTTTAGAGGAGGAGATTCACATACATAAAGACATAAAGAAAGAGTTAAACAAAGACATAAACATGAACATAAAGACATCAATACACAAAAACACTTGAACATAAAGACATCAATAAACAAAAACATAAAGACATGCACAAAGACATCAATGCATAAACTTTCAAAGACACAACACTTTAAGTTACATAAACCAAATGTTGCTCAAAGCCTTGTGGGAAGTCTTCCCAGCCCTTGGTTCTAGAAATGTAGCTCTTTGGACGGGTTGCTCTTCAAAAGATTATAAGAAAGCACAAGTCTTATTTTCCCCCATGTATATTAAGCACAAGTCGAACAGGTTGTGTGCATTAACGATTTCAGTTACCTCAGACCAAATCAGTGAAACACAGTCCAGGTAAAATCATTCAATCATCAAAGCCAACGAATAGAGAGAGCAATCACTGACACAAACGACGATTTCACTAACATTTTTCCCGTTTTCCTCTGAAAACTTCCCTCTGTGCTAATATCAACAGCTTCTCTGAGTTATAAACCCTTCTCAGTAAACCACCAAATGTGAAGGAAGCAACAATGATTCTCGTTACGAACTAGAAGGTGAATCAAATTGCTGGAGAAGAATCGATCACCAGTTTTGGCGACTTAGATTTAGGGTTTATGATATGGGAGACTTTAGCTACAAAGAGCAGAGTCTCTAGATGATTTAGAGGTGTCTGAGAAATTACACTCCATACCAAAGAAAATAAAAAAATTATGTCAAAGGATGGATTATCATAATTTTGAATTGTCTTTGAAAATATTTAGTAAAGACGAAAATACCTTCATCATCTACATCACATACAATATGATGTATGTAAATTGGTTGACTTTCAAAATAATAATTTATTTGATTTATTTAAATTAGTTTTATATTTTTGGTAAAAATGCACTCATTCACCCCTATAAACTCGAATTTCAATCACATAGCTCCTTTCGCCTCTCCTTTCAGTCGAGTCACGTCAGTACCTCTCAGAAGCGAGAAAGCGAGCAGCAAGCTGAAAAAAGGGGAAAGTGGTTTTATAAAGCAAAATAAGCTAAGGGGGCTGGCTAGGAATCGCAAGAATTGAGAAGGGTGGGAAAGACAGGTTTGGTAATGGCCGGATTAGCAGGAGGAAGGTCTTGAAGAGCCTGAAACAAAGAAAGGTGTACATAAAAAAAGAGGCTGGTTATGGCCTTTACTTGATAGGACTCCTTTCTCATCCCGGGAAGAGGGGATAAAAAAACCTTGCGGAAGCCCTGCCCACCCTTCTGGATCCCTCATATTTATGATTTCAGGCTTCCCGGACTCGTAATAGACGGCTAAGAACAAGAAGAGAGTCAGTAGTCTCTGCCGTTGCAGGTCCTTCTCCTTCCGCTGAGACGGCCCTCTTTTTTTGTTTGTTCACCGCGGCACGAAATCGAAATCATGAAGAAGTTGGAATAACTCAGAAAGAGAGTGGCGCCTAGCCGTTGAGAGCGTCTATTATCTTTGTAGAGGAACAATACGATCTTGGACTGGCCCCCTTCGCATGACCTAGAAAGATCAATAAGTCCATGCTAATATAAGCCCTTTAAACTCCTCCCTCAAGACACTATTGCCCATGGGGACGGGGTAGCCCCGACTTCCATAGGTCCTTGGTTCGACCTCCTAATGAGAATTGAGGTCCTTGCGCGGGCGTCTCATCCCTAAGACTTGCTTGCTCTGTATGGAGTGCCCTGTGGTTCCTCGAGTGCCAGCCGCAGAGAGGAATGCCATCAACTAGGGCGCTATTGGCTACTAACCACTCGCTCGCCAGCCGCTCGGGCTTCGCATTTCAAGTTCGTTATCCTAACTGTCCCCTCTGCTCCACCGGGTGCCTGGCCCTTTCTTCTATCTTATCTACTGCCTTGCTCCTCGGCTCCCTACAGCTCCAGCCGCTCGCTGTAATAGCTTGCTTCTCGGGTGGCTTGCACCCCGGGTGGTGCGGCTGAGCCAGAGTGGCTCAACAGTCGGCCTATGTTTCCGGGCGCACGCGTAAAGGCATGATTATTTCCACAAATCTCACTGCACTGGCCATAGTAAACTCCTTCTCGTTGTACCAAAATAGAGATTTGATTTAAACGACCAGGTACAACATCACATTTGACACCTGAGGAAGGTACAGCCCAACTATGAGGTACATCAGCAGATGTTACAATAATACGTAGATGAGTTTTGGCTGGTACAACCACTCTATTGTCCACTTCTAATAAACGTGATTGACCCAATTCTAGATCTTCTTCTAGAATCATATAACTGTCAAAAGTGAGTGACTTCTCATCGGAACTGTTATAGTCAGAATACTCATAAGTCTGATACCATTGATGTCCAATAGCTTTGATAGTAATGGCTGGATCTACTACTACCTCGTCCATTGAGTATAAGAGAGCAAATGATTGTATAGCAATGAACATCGAGATGATACTAGGAAAGATGGTCCGAAGAATCTCGATAGTAGTTCCATGAACAATCCTTGTCCTTAGCTGGATCTCGCTGGTGCCACCTAAACGGTAAGTAGGCGGTGGATGTGTGACGTTTGGAGTTGTCGTTCGTGCACCTGTCCCCAAAGATCGAGACTGCACTGATTGGGCTCACCTTTTAAGTCAATAGAATAGGGCTAGTTCATGCGCTTTGTTTCTAGTGGAAAACTTGAAGGCCTCCGTGGAGGGGTTCGCCCTCCAGTACGAACAAAGGTTCAGTCCACTCCAAGCTTTGCTACTGCTTTGAAAGAGTTGTGGAAGCTGCCAGTCCTGGTTGAGGAAAAAGAAAAGACTACGCCAAAGAACGTTTATATGTGAAGCTGAGGCAAAGACATTTTCTCTTGAAGATTTAGCGGAAATCAAAGTCTAAAGTGCCTTACTGTGCGAAAACGCATATTTGACTCTCTGGCCAAGTCTGGAGATGATCTTGTCTTTCCCTCTTATACAAGTCGAATCTCTTTCTCTCTCTCTTTGCTCCAAGCCAACTAGTAATTGGCCACATCCTCTTGTCAGCGATGCTCTTTACTCAAGCCCACACCCTCTAGGGGTTACTTCGTCACCTCCATCAAACCCGCGTCAAAGCCCCTCGTCAAAGACCTACGTCAAAGTAGGTTGCTTCGCCACCTCCGTCAAACCTTCGTCAAAGGAGGCTACGGGAGGCTACGGGGCTGCGTAGGTTGCTTCGCCACCTCCGTCAAACCTCCGTCAAAGGAGGCTGCGGGAGGCTACGGGGCTGCTGACGTAGGCCTGTTCGATATTTCTTCATTTCCGATAGATCCATCTGTTGGAACATCCGTGATCCATAATCCCTCCGAAAAGAAGTATCCTTTTGGAGTTTCATCGTCATCAATAAAAAAAGGTTTTTATATTAAACTTGTCTTCGTCTTTTCACTTGAAATCTTATTGTGTTCGAAGTAAACATTGTCTCATCGTAAAATTGAAGTGACGATATTGAATTGGATTCGATGTGTAATAGGTTATGAGGAAAAGTAAAACAAGAGTATTTTGGTTATCTTTTGATTTCTCTCTGTGGTCATGCAAATGAATAAAGGTCATTGATATATCCTTAATTCTTTTCCAAAATCTATTCATGCACCTAGTTTTCACATAAAGTTTAAATAACTAAAATTTACAAAATGACTTTATATGCCTTACAAAAAGAGGAATGAGTAACAAATTAACCAATGAAAACAATCACCCTTGCTTACATACTAACACAATAATCACTCAATCAACAATAAAATACATAGTTTTTTTTTTTTTGCTAAATATGTAAACAACATAAAAATAAAAGTTGAGATCTTACAAAATAATAGAACCTAAACAAAAGTAATCTTGGCAAAAAAAAAGAAGGTAAAAACAAGGCTACAATAGAGTTAAGAAAGATTTGGGAAGTTATCGGATCCAAAGAAGCATAAGTTTTCGTCGTCGTTTTCTACGTACTCTAGAGGTGATGATGTTAAAGAGCTCACATAGTTAGGAAGAAACCTAGATGATTTTGATTCAATCATCACTCAAGCACAAAACGAAAAGATAAAAGCGTTAATTACTAAAAAATATGAGGATGAATTCTACAAAATTTTCAAATTCCTATCAGGGAAACCGAATTTATTAAGGCTGATGTGATCATGTACGAAAGAATGATTGAAAATGGGGTTGATTTGTACTTTTTTTTATATGCTAAGGGTAAACTTGCAAAAAATGATATTAATTTTTTTTTTTTGGTAGAAAACTCTAATTTGAGTTATAATTATATAAATTTGAGAAATTACAAAAATGTATTACTAAAACAAAGTAATAAGATATTCAAAATATGGGAATGAAACTGCAAGTCAAATGCTGACAAACAAACAATAAAGAAATGAAATTAAATATAGATGTTTATACATTTAAAATAATGTAAATTTCATTTAAAAAAATCTACTTTCTTGTGACTCTGTCACGTTCAATAATTTGAAGACCATTCAACATACAGTATAAGGTAAATAATTGAAAAAAAATCTACAAAAACTTCAATTATTATTATCTTCCAAAAAAACAAAATTATACAGATGATGATGATATGGAACTTCGATTGGCTAATATTCACTGTGTCTCTCTAAAAACCATCCACTTATCAAGATAAGATGGACCCTACACTCATCCAATCTAAACCAATATCTCACGATTCTTATCTAATCACATCATTCTCAACCGTTAGATCAAATTCACCATTAACCGTATCATACGCCCATACACCGCGACACACTAGATTAACCAAATCAAGATCATCGTAGCCGTCCGATCAATAAGTATCATCTCTTGAAATACTCGAAAACCTCATATCTTCGCTTCCTCTTTGCTCTCACTGTCTAAAACTCTGAATTTCGATTTCAATGGAGTCACGCGTGCTGTTACGCGCCACCGCGAATGTCGTCGGAATTCCGAAATTGAGACGACCTATCGGAGCGATCCACCGTCAATTCAGCACTGCGTCGTCATCTTCCTCGTCTTTCTCGGTTAAACCAATCGGAGGAATCGGAGAAGGAGCGAATCTGATCTCCGGTCGTCAGCTTCGTCCGATTCTTCTTCTCGATTCGTCGGCGATCAACGGCGGAGAGAAAAGAGAGATTCTCAAACCGGTTAAAGCCGCCGCTGCTGAAGGTGGAGATACCGCTGGGTAAGAGGTCCGTTTCTAGCTTACTCGGTGTTGACTCGTTTGACTCGGTGAATCTGAACTCGTTTATTTCGCAGGGAAGCTAAAGTTGGATTCCTCGCCAAGTATCCATGGCTAGTCACTGGGTTCTTCTTCTTCATGTGGTACGTGTCTTTCACGCGCTTATCTTAAATTTTATCATGCGCACTTTAGCAGATTCTTGTGATTTTAGCGCCAAGTTTCGGAATTCAGTGTGAATTTACGGATTTACCCTCATTTGGTATTAACAGGTACTTCTTGAATGTGATTTTCAACATCCTTAACAAGAAGATCTATAATTACTTCCCTTATCCCTAGTAAGTTTGTTTACACACATTTTTACATTTGTGTTTAATCTTTTTTATTTGTGGATTAGTGTTTGTTAAGAGTTAATCGCAATATTTTCAATTTATGATCTAACTATATTCTGTGGTCCATATTGTTTTTCTTTTTAGGGCCAAATATTATTCTGTTGGTCCGATTAAGAATCGAATCTGAATATTGTATCAAGAGAATACATTTGTTCGAAAAAGAATCCATTTGTCTTTAAATATAAATAAATTATGTCTTTTTACAATATAATACTCCCTCTGTTTCACAAAGAGTGTCATTTTAGAGTTTTGCACACAGATTAAGAAAACATTAAATTTTTTGTTTTTTCTAAACAAAAACATCATTAACTATATACCTAAACATAATCTGCCCAATAGTAAAACAATCTGCAGAATACTAATAGTCATAAAACATAAAAAAATCATTAAATTTTGCATTGAAAACCTAAAACGACACTCTTTGTGAAACAAAAATAAAACCTTAAAACGACACTCTTTATGAAACGGAGGGAGTAATAAAGAATGTTGTATTTTGTTTTCAGTTTTGTATCGGTGATACACTTGTTCGTGGGAGTGGTATACTGCTTGATCAGCTGGTCCGTGGGCCTTCCTAAACGAGCCGTAAGTTCATCTCTTTATAGCTCATTTTACAGTTCTTAGTTTATGAGATGCAAAATGCAAAAATTTGGGGCGTTCCGAGAATCGAACTCGGGACCTCTCGCACCCAAAGCGAGAATCATACCACTAGACCAAACGCCCAGTTGATGTTACATTGTTTGTTAATGTTATTATCTAATGGTGTACTCTTGGCTCATGTGAATGATTTGATGGTTTGCAGCCAATTGACTCGAATCTCCTCAAGGTATTGATACCAGTTGCAGTCTGTCACGCCATAGGCCATGTCACTAGCAATGTTTCCTTTGCCGCGGTTGCTGTCTCCTTCACCCACACCATCAAAGGTATTTTTGAAACAAATCTATACAACATAAAAATAACATTAATTTCTTTAAATCAAAATCTAACATTTTTATGTTTTTGCCAAAACGCAGCACTTGAGCCATTCTTCAATGCGGCTGCTTCTCAATTCATTATGGGACAATCCATCCCCATAACATTATGGTTGTCTCTAGCTCCTGTTGTTCTTGGTAAACACTCAATCAAACCCTTTTCGTGTTTCTTCTGTCCTAAGTTACTTGGATTAACGACCTAGTAAAAATTTTGCAGGTGTTGCAATGGCTTCACTTACTGAGCTATCATTCAACTGGCTTGGTTTCATCAGTGCCATGATCTCAAACATTTCCTTCACTTACCGAAGCATCTTCTCCAAGAAAGCCATGGTTCTTGATTCTTCCCTCTTCTTTTTTACACTACTAAACTAAACCGTGTCAAGGTTTGATAGTGAAAACTGAATTGTGATTTGCAGACTGATATGGACAGTACAAATGTCTACGCTTACATCTCCATCATCGCTCTCTTTGTCTGCATTCCTCCTGCCATCATCGTTAAGTCACTTTCATTATCTCTCACTAGTTACGTTTGGGAGAAGTAATGTGTTTTCTTTTTGTTATTAATTGGGGTTTCTGGTTAAAATTTGTTCTTAGGTTGAAGGTCCTAAACTACTGAACCATGGTTTCGCCGACGCCATTGCTAAAGTTGGAATGACAAAATTCATCTCTGATCTCTTCTGGGTTGGAATGTTTTACCATCTCTACAATCAGGTATGTAAAATTCAAAAGTTTCTATATTTAAACTTAACCCTGAGTTTATAAAGGAAACTAAAACTTTGAGAACACCGCGGTTGCAGTTGGCTACAAATACCTTGGAAAGGGTCGCACCGCTGACTCACGCGGTTGGAAACGTGCTGAAACGTGTGTTCGTGATCGGTTTCTCCATCGTTATCTTCGGTAAAATATTACTTACTCTCCTCAATATGTTTGCTTACTAGACATTAGAAAATAACGCATGAAGCAATTCATATTTATTTACTTAATTAATGTTTGCAGGAAACAAGATATCGACACAGACAGGTATAGGAACAGGAATAGCCATTGCTGGTGTTGCAATGTACTCTATCATTAAGGCCAAGATCGAAGAAGAGAAACGGGTCAGTTCATTTTTCACAACAAAGCTTAAGAAATTTTGCTTAATAATAAAGATATAAATTGTTTTGAATTTTGAGAAAAAGATGATTAATATGAGAATTGGACCTTCTTTTGCTTCAGCAAGGAAAGAAAGCTTAGAGAGCGACGTAAGACGGCGGTCGACGGTTGCATAAACAAGTCCTCCGATGGATATATTTATATAATAAATAACCAAATGCAATAGTATGTTGTATTGTACCATCAACCATTGTTTTCGAGTTTTTCCTTTCTTTGTTTTTTTGCTTTCTGAAAAGTTATATATAATTTTTTATTCTGTTTTTAATGGAGAACATTTCCATTTCTTTTGATATGCAATTATCTTGACGGATAAAAGGCATAATAATGTATTTATTTGCTCTTATACCCATCATCGTAGAGTTAAATTTTAAATTTATCTTTGTATAAAGGAATCAAGATCCTAGTATCTTGACGGATAAACGCCATAATAATGTATTCTTTTGCTCTTGCTAATTTTGTTTTTTCATATGGTAATTTCTTTAAATTGGTTATATATTGTTTTTGTAATATTATATGTGTTATATAAGTTAAAAAGAATCATCATCGTCGATAGTAAAGTGCGATTTTTATTCGTTTTTTTCTTTTTCTGTTAAACGTGTTATAAAAATCGCACTCTACCGTCGACACAATGCCCATCTTTTGTTTTGGGTTTTCCACCGACTAAAGATTTTGATTAGATTGTTAATGAAATGTATGGAGTTCTAGTGTTATAAAACAGACAAAAGTTAAAAGCGTTGTCTTTTTTTTTTTTTTGACAAATGGGTTTCTTGAATCATGAGCTGCCACAAAAACTGTTTCTAACTCTAATTTGCATAATGATTCACCATATAATGCATACGACGTACACCACAACAAAGTTAGTTACCCATGTTTATTCTCTGTTTTTGTAACTATATTAATGTTAGATAAAATAGTGTAATGAATTTATGAATTAAAAAATTTCTTATATATACTTTCGGTGGTCAATCATTCAAATTGCTTTTCCGCAAATCAAGCAACCAAACTAATTAAACTTATTAGTCTCTTTTCGTTACTTTCTCATCACTCTTTTTTGTGAACTCATCATTTATTTTTATTGTACCCAACGTTTGGTAATAAAAACTCTAATTATTTTGACCAATTAAATCGACCTAATGTTTGGTAATTTTCAACAAAAAGGCAAAAAACCACATATATATATATATATGTATATATATATATATATCTATATGTATAATTTCTAATCGACCAACATATATAAACCACCAAAAATGGCTCAATCACTAACGTCTCTTCTCTGTCTCACTTCTTCATCGCATCTTTCTTTCATTCGCAAACACAAGCAAGAAACCGCCAAATTTTAACCGGAGTAACCGTTAAAAACCATATTTTATTCATGCCAGAGAATCACCGGAGCACGGTGGATGAGGAAAACGAGCAAGAGCCAGCCTTTGTCCGAGAGACAGGACATGGCTATGGTCTCTACGGTCATCTTGAGATTCACAAACAACGACGAAAACGATAACAGTGACAACGATCAATTTTACTACAGAAGCGACGCTTATGGAAATCGCGATGGTAGATTTAAGTAAAGAGATTGATATTTGTTTGTTTTAGATTTAATTATGTTTCATTTTGTTAGAAATTTTCTTTTTCATTCGGACGAGTAACCATAAAGTTATGTAGTAACCATAAAATCTTGTCAAGGCTCTCGGAGTCGGAGCGTAACCGCAAAAAAGTTTCCTTTGTTACCGCTGGTTCTATTCGTTCTGACCTTGTGTTTCCATCACCCGTAGCTTCTCAGATCTCGATTTCGGTCGTCGTCGTATGATTTTTTCTCACCGTTTTGTAGCTGTGTTCTTCCTCCGATGTAACATGTAGCGTTGCCCAAGTTGGGAAAGATTAATATAATTTTAATTTAAAAAATAAAAAAATAAAATAAAAAAAATAAAAAAAGTTATGTAGTTTTTTTTTGGTAAGCACAAAGTTTTTGTAGTTTACTTTAGAGATTTTTATCTTTCATAGCTAAAACAAAAAATTATATAACTAACCAAATGTAATTTACTGATTGAAGACTATCAACATCTCATTGATAATAACGCGGATAGTCTGTCATCTATCCTCTACTAGAAGACTGCAAATGATACAACCAGTCCTCTTCAACACTATTTAATTTATTTGTATAATTATGGATATGAGAAGATGAATAGAAACGCAAAGTACAAACACATATTACATAGTTTACCAATATTGGTTGTCTACTTAGTTTTGGAAGCAACGAATAAATGTCAAAATACTACATCGGATGAACTAGATCCCTAGGCCAGAGGTATATCCTTGAACCTCTGACTCGCTAACTTTATATACAAAAAGGTAATTTAAATTACCTCATATTCTGTGTAACCAAAGCGAAGTAACTGTTTGGTCACTAGATTGGGAAGACAGAGAGAGAGGGACATGGCACCAAATCGAACTCTAGATTCCAAGCATTGAAGAACGTAGTCAGACTAGAATCCAACCACTTGAACCAGACCCGATTTGGTGGCAGCTTGTTGTCTTTTAATTACTTAACATAACCAAGCTGAAAAAAAAACCACAAAAAAAACAAAAAAAAAAGCTATTTACGTTTGTGTTTGAACAGGATCTTGTTAATTGGCATAATCCACAAGAGTACGTAGTAGTGTTTCTGCCTTATAATTTGTAGTTGATCTGATAAATTAAATAAGCTGTTTACAGTCACTTTATGAATGGCCGACTTTCTCCAACCTGCTAGATGAGTTTGGTTTGCTCCGTGTCTCTTTTTCCTCTTTTCCGCTATCTCTTATTTCTCGTTCTTGTAATTTAAAAACGGACTGCTTAATCCGTTCTTCTAGACTTTTAGTTTCTGAAACTACCTTTCTAAACATTTCTCCTCCTAATTGAGTAACCAACCAAGGAGTTTTTTTTTAATAAATGTGTGGTTGGCAAAAAATAAAATAAAAAAAATAAGTTGTTAACTATATTGATTATGGACGAAGCAATAACTATCCAAAAACTGAAAATAAATTCTAAAGATTTAGATTGACTTCATTCGTTTCAAATTAAGTGTTGTTTTAAAATATAATTTGTTTCAGAAAAGTGTGATTATATTTTTCATGCAAATTTTAATTTAAATTTCATGTTGTATACTTATTATTTTAATGTATTAACCAATAAAAATTAATATTGTGTATTAATGAAGGGTAAAAATGAAATTTTAATTGTTATTTTAATATATGTGAAATAACCATAAACGACATATAATTAGAAGCAAAAGAAATATCATTTAGGGATGTAACTAAGTACAAACTTAAAATTTATCAAACAGCAAACACAAAGAATTTAGTCTCTTATCCAAATCTCTTTTACCTTTTTTTTTCTTTCCTTTGCATTTTTTTTGTTGATACTATTATATTTTTCTCGTATTTTATAATGACGATATCGTCAAATTTTTCTTTAATGAGTGACAAAAGGATTAACATATATAATAACATATTTGTTATATTATATTTATGTCAATAAAATATTTTTCAAAGTAAAAAATATTATTTTAAAGTTTAAAAATGTATATTCAAGTTTAAATTTTAAAATGCTGGATAAACAGAAGATGCACTATTATGTAGATAAATATGAAAGAACAAAATAACATAAAGAATAAGAAAGGAGATAGCTAGCTTAATAAACTCTTGTTTATATCCTTACATCAAATATAGGAGAACAAAGATAATCCTTCAAATAATTAATAAATTTAAATGATTATTGATATTAGAATAATAACTGAAGTGACGTCAAAAAAAATAAAAAATAATAATTGAAGTAAAAAAAAGGTAATTTGGATTACCTGATTTCTCTAGAGAGAACAACAACAACAACAACAACTGCAAACTGGTCATGAAAGATAAAGAGAGAGGAAGATACTAAGAATCGAAATCTGGTCCCAAGCTTTACGTGGAATCTATGCGTTAGGCTCCGACCACTTGGACCAGATCAGACTTGGTGTGAAAAGTTTTTCCTCATATTATTTATACGTTTGTTTCGGTCAAATTCAAAGTAAACCGAATCAGTCAGACACGAGATTAGTGTTTGTTGAAAGAAGAAGAGAAAGCTTGAAAGAGAGGAAAAGATTCAATATTTTTCCTTAACAAAATTGGATGACAAGCAGAGGTCTTTATAAAGAGAAGAATTACAAAAAGCTAATGATGAATGTTCTAGTTGCATGAGATGCTGCTACTTCCAAAAACATCAAAGCGATTATGCACGCTTATGTTTGTTGGCGGCGATAGAAGCGGTAAGGGCGCGCGTGATTGTTGCAGAGTTGTAGAGTTGGGCTTCGTGGGCTTCACTTTTCCTTTTGGGCCTGAATCTTCTTTTAGTTGTTTGATACACCCCCTCAAACTTGTGTCCGGCGGCAAGACGACACCAAGTTTGAACCGAAGATCGAAGAATGGTGCTTGAGGAAGAGACTTAGTGAAAATGTCAGCAAGTTGATGGGAGGCTGGAATGTGTTTGACAGTGAGAGCGCCTAAAGCCACTCTTTCACGGACATAATGGTAGTCCACCTGAAAGTGTTTGGAACGAGAGTGAAGAGCGGGATTAGCAGAGAGGTAGACGGCTGAAAGGTTGTCACAGTACATCTCAGGGATTTGATGTTGGGGAAGACCAATTTCTTGGAGCAAGGCTCCAATCCATGCAACTTCAGATGCTGCAAAAGACAATGTCCGGTATTCAGCTTCGGTGGAGGATTTGGAGACGGTGGGATGACGTTTAGCAGACCACGAGACAATGTTGGAGCCGAGGAATATACAGAAACCTCCGGTAGATCGTCGTGTGTCCTTGCAGCCAGCCCAATCACTATCACTGTAGCAACGAAGAACAGAATCTGTGTTTGAAGATAGATTAATGCCCATTGTCATTGTACCTTTAAGATACCGCAAGATCCTTTTGAGTAAATGAAAATCAGACATGGAAGGAGAGTGCATCTTTTGGCAAACAAAATTAACCACGAACTGGATGTCAGGTCTGGTGAGAGTGAGATATTGGAGTTTGCCCGCCAAGCTTCTGAAATAGGTGGGTTCAGGAAAAGGTTCGTTGTTACCTGGTAACTGATCAAGCTGAAGAGGAAGAGGTGTCGGCATGGGTGAGCACTCTGACATGCCCGCATTGATCAATAAATCAGAAGCGTACTTTTCCTGACTAAGGAAAAGACCATCATTGTGGTAGTGCGCCTGAATCCCCAAGAAGTAATGCAAAGCTCCCATGTCCTTCATTCGAAATTCTGTACTGAGAGTGGTCAATAACTGTTGAAGGAGAGCAGCATTGTTACCAGTTAATATCATATCGTCAACATAAAGCAACAAGAACATAACGTCATTGTCCTTAAGATAAACAAAGAGAGAAGGATCCGAAAAGCTGCAGATAAATCCAAACTGTAGAAGATAAGAGCTGAATTTGTCAAACCAAGCCCGAGGCGCTTGTTTTAAACCATAAATTGCTTTCTTGAGTTTGCAAACGTAGTCAGGTCGAGAGGGATCTTCAAAGCCGGGTGGTTGGGTCATAAACACAGTTTCTTTCAATTCCCCATGAAGAAAAGCATTTTTCACATCGAGTTGCTTAAGGGACCATTTGTTAATTGTAGCGACATGAAGAATAGATCGAACCGTGGCAGTTCTAACAACGGGGCTGTATGTCTCAACATAATCCACGCCTTCTTCTTGCTCATATCCCCTTGCAACAAGGCGAGCTTTCAATCGGTCTAAACTCCCATCAGAATTCAGTTTCGTTTTAAACACCCACTTACATCCAAGAGGACGATCAGCCATTTCCGGTGGGACTAAGTCCCATGTATTAGTTTCGTGTATCGTTTCCATTTCTTCTCCCATTGCGTTTGTCCAGCCTTCATCTTTGAGAGCAGCTTTGACGGATTTAGGCTCAAGATAGTTAGATTTGACAGAAAATAGAGCATACTTTGGATTAGGCTTGGTGATGCCTGCTTTAGCGCGAGTAATCATGGGATGAGAGGTATCTGTTGTAGTAGGAGGAGAGGAGACAGCAGATTACAGAGGCGGAAAATCAGAATCGGTAAACAGAGAGTTGTTTGTGATTTGCGGAGTGACATCGTTGGTGACTGCCGGTTCAGAGTCAGGAGGGCAGTGATCGAGATCAGACGTTAAAATCTCAGGCTGAGTGGGAGTCGATGTAGACGTGATCGGACTAAAAGGAGCAGTATCATCTGAAAAGACCAAACCAGGAGTGGCAGTGTTTGGTGTGGAGCTGCTGGAGACATTTGGAAGAGGGAAAACAACATCTTCCACGCTCGGGGATGTGGATGGTGTTTCTGGTGAGGAATTCTTGATGAGAAACCCCCGTTGCCAAGCAGTGAGAAGGGGAGAATCAGAAGTTGTCTGAAACTGAGAATAAATGTCAGAGTACGGGAATTGTCTTTCGTCAAACAAAACATGTCGACTAATGTAGATTTTTCCCGTAGGTGGATGAAGACACCTATATCCCTTGTATTTGTTGTTATATCCCAAAAACACACATAGAAGAGACTTGGGATCAAACTTGTTTTTCGCATAAGGACGAAGGTAAGGGTAGCATGCACTCCCAAAAACACGCAGCGCAGTATAGACAGGAGGAGTTCCATGCAGAATCTCATAGGGACTTTTATTGTTGGACACAGCAGAAGATGGAAGAAGATTACCCAAAAAATTTGAGGTAAAGAATGCTTCAACCCATAGCTTATGTGGAACCTTGCTGTGAAACATGAGAGAGAGACCAAGTTCGGTTAGATATCGATGTCGTCTTTCAGCAATCCCGTTCTGTTGTGGAGTGTGAGGACACGAAATCAGTTGCCTAATACCACATGAAGCAAGGTGAGCAACAAATTTATTTGAGATGAACTCACCC